GGAATTAAGATTTCGCAACCACACCCGAAAGCGATCGATACATACACACACACACACAGACATTGGAGAAACTGGGTCCTAAGGGACGCCTCTGTCTGGAACAGGTCTGCCACTCTTGCCAATCAGCCAGATTGATGCAAGATAAAAAGAAGATAAGAGAAGAAAGTTGGAAAGGGGGACCAAAGGAAAAAGAAAGAATGGATGGATGGCAAGATGAAGGTTTAGTTAGACTGCAAGAGGGAAATTGGAAATAACCTAAGATAAACAAACAATAGCTCAGGGTTTAAGAGGACACCCGGCTGTTTCTTCTCATTGGTCTTAATGCTCAACCTGTCTTCCGTTTCACTCCTCCTCTTGATTACTTCATATTTCATTCTTTTACTTTCCATTTCATAATTTCCTTAGGTGATGTTCATCTATTGATCCATCCATCCTCTCACATGGACTAAATAATGTAGGCTGCAATGTTTCTTGATTCTTTCTCATACTGATTATCAAGGGGGAAACTTTTCACATTGACTTCTATTGTTTTCATATGAAGATAATTATATTTTCTATACTCTTTCCCTAACTCTTCCAAAAACAATGTACTCCCTCTTCCTTTTACATTTGTTCTGCCCTTACTAGCAGGTCTAACTACTGCATTTAATTGTTTAAAAATAAAAAAATGAATGACATAATATCTGATTGCTATCATAAAACAAGCCTTAAATCTTGCTCTGCATAACGTCTTTTCTGTCAACTGTGCATGAAAGTCAACAACCAACTTTCAATCTATTAAACAACATGTTTGGTGATATGATGCTCTTCACTAAAAAAAAAAATGTTTACCCAGCCAAGCACAAAAGTGTTTTCTCATGAGTAAAGCGCAAAATAAAATGTTTTATCTCCTATGTTTCATCTTATGGCCGGTATCCAGGTGTGAATCTCACGTTCTCTTTGTACAACTTCTCTTATTATTCAATTTAATTTAAATGTATTTATTGTGTTCTTTCTCGACATTTAGCTGTGCTATATAAGTGCTATACAAAAGCAAAAAAAATCCTAATTTTAAGGGAACTGGATCTACGTATGCATGCATGCACTAAAAATCACATTGATTATTTGCATTAAAAAAATCTGTTTGCAGATGCCACTTGGTTTGATATTTTGTCATCTAATGCAGACAGTCAAACATTTTAACAGGTCTCTCACCACATTACCATGTCACACAAGAAAAACAACCATTCAAAAGTATGGGGTCAGTAATTATTCATTGCAATTTTTTTTTAAGGAAATTAATAATTATACTCACCAAGTATGCAATTCAAAATAAATACATTGGTTATGTGACAAATAGTTTCTTTGAACGTTCTATTCATCAAAGAATTCTGAAAACAATTCCATAATATTAAGCAGCACAAACTAATTTCATGTTTCTTGAGCACCAAATCAGCATGATCATGATCTGGAGTAATGATGCTGAAAATTCAGCTTTGTAAGGAGAGAAATAAATTACATTTTAAAGTATATAAACATAGAAAACAGATATTTTAGATTGAAATACTGTTACATAGTATTACTCCTAACTGTCTCTAATCAACTTTTTGCAACCTTGGTGAGTATGAGGCTCTTACTAACCCCAAACTTTTGAGGCTTAATGTATTAAAGTAAATGTGCAACTCAGTAAATAGTGCATGCATATATTGTTATTGTACAGTTAATAATTGTGCCAAAAAAAAAACATTGCAAAAATGTTCTCATATAGACAAAAGAAAAGAATGATCATAAAATCCATAACATTTTACCAAGGTCCACTCGATTGGAATTTTATTCCCTTGCCACTTGTATAAATCAACTGGGAAACTATTTGCAGAGGCTAATCAGGAAGTCTCTTCATTTGCATCTGTTGGCATTCTCCCAGTCTTTGGGAAAATGACTGCAGCTGCCAAAATCCTTCTATGACAGTGAATCATCAAGCACCCTCAAAACTGTAACATCAAATTCCACAAATCATCCCAGTCTCTCTGTCTTAAATCAACACTTTAATTCATTGCGGCCTTGGAAATGCTAAAAAGACAATTTTATGGATACTAAAAATAGCACAGCTACCCTATTTATGTGGCTTAGGTCTGCCTTGCCAACAGACACTGTGGAACCGTCCGCTCGAAAGCTGCCCCCTTGTCACACTGCCTGCTGATCTGTCCATACTTCCTGCCAAGTGTCTCTCTATAAGACTCTCTCTCTCTGTGTGTGTGTGTGTGTGTGTGTGTATACATTCTATATGTAACTCCAAAGCCTGAGGCTCATGTGTTGAAATATGAAGTGAAGTAGTCTACAGCACAGATAAGGGGGAGGTACTGTGTGTGAGACACAGATGAAGGTATGGAGAAGAGATGCAATACATTACACAGCTAAGCAGCTAAGTGTTTTTTTTTATTCTATTTAAGAGGCTGTTTTAATATAGCTCTGCTCTAATTGAGAGCGTGTGAGAGACATACCCCATGTTTATGAAAAACACTGAGCACAAGGCAGTGGCTAAAGAAACAGAGAAAGAAACAGAGTCTAATGTAACATACATGTGTACGCCTTGAGAGAATATGAAGAAAATGTTTCTAATTTCAGGTTTCTACAGTAAGAAAAACCTACTGTCCAATAAAGGGACAATGTGAGAGTTTTTCAGGGCAGTTCATGAAACTTCCTAGTATGTGTATCTTACTTTTTATATTATTATTATAATATTTATGAATTTTATAATTTAAAAAAGTATTTTTTATACCACTAAAATATTTTCCAGGCTGACATAATGTTCTCCAGCATAATTTGAAAATGATCCAAAAGAGCTTGTGATTCAACGGACACATCAAACATCTGAGCATCTCCACAAGAGAGTTCACATGGTCAATATCACAAATAGACTTGAATATGAAGATTTTCAATGTCTGCAACATATGTGTTGCCTAGCTAGAATGAGTTTAGTGGTGTATATTATACATGTGAGTGTTTGTTTGTGCATTTCTCTACCACTCTGCTGTGTGACAGAGACTCCCTGGGCCCATATTTAATTACAGCCAGAGACAAGAAAAGGAAAGTGAGAGAGAAAAGAGAGTGAGGGGAAATGAGTGAAATGAGGTGAGATTGCATTTTCTGTCAGTAACCTGTTATCTCACGTCTCCCCGCTGCTACGGCTGCCAGAGTGAGTGGGTGAGCAATGAGAGTGGAAGCCTCCACACCCCTAAAGCGCAACAGAAATCGTGACTGGATTTCACTGCCATTCTGTGTTCATTTTTAAGCGGTCCCACCGTGATGGAAAACACAGAAACAAAGACGTACCCTTCTACTCACCAGAGACCTGCAGCCGATGACAAAAGTTTTTGTGCTAACAACGTCAAGGTAGAAAAGAGCATGTTCTTTCTAACATGAACTATATTTAGGTACAATTAGTTCCCCTATTCCCGCAGAAACAACTATAAATCTGTAATTTATAGCAATTAATTCACTGACCATGAATGGGGAAATTATATATACTGTATATATATCTACGGCACATTTTAGGCCCCGTTTACACGAAGGGAAAACTCAGATATTTCCCTGTGGTTTGGCCTCTCATTTACACAAAAACCCCGTTTTTATCACAGAAAACTATTATTTCTAAAAATTAAAAAAGTGGAGATTTCTGAAAACACTGGTTATGTGTTATCATGTCAACTGGGAGAAACGGCGTTTTAGGTTCTCTCATCGATTATGAGAATTCTGATTGGCTTGCATGGCTTTATCCTTCTCTCTTACACTGCCGCCCATAGGTTTGGCATAGATATGACGGCGTATTTATGCGGGTGTGTGAACGATGTTATTTTTGAAAACGGAGAGGGGGAAAATATTTGTTTCTCTAAATACCCGGCTTTGTGTAAACGTGGCCTTAGAGTGGCATTTCATTGTGGCCAGCCGGCACACCTGTGCAATGATCATGCTGTCTAATCAGCATCTTGATATGCCACTCTTGTGAGTTGTATGGGTTATCTTGGCAAAGGAGAAGTGCTCACTAACACATTTAGACAGATTTGTAAACAATATGAGATAAATAGGTCTTTTGTTTAATCTTTGAGTTCAGCTCATGAAAAATGGGGGCAAAAACAAAAGCGTTGCGTTTATAATTTTGTTCAGTTAATATATGTTTTTTGCTATTCTGTTTGGTGCTACTCATGCCACATAAATACCTCATCTTGACAGGCAGCCGGGCTCCAATTATAAGACTGACAAGTTTGTGAGAAGCATGTTTCCACTAATCACAACAAAAGAATATAAACAAGCATTCACTTCACTACTACAAAAACATATTTGCCAAACATACCTTCACCACAGCTGTTTTCCGTATTAATGTTTCCATCTTGCTCTGAGTTTGCTCTTTTTCCATTGCAGATTTCTGTTTTCCCTAGAGCTCAAGGTTTCCACATTCACTAACTGCTGTCAGGCACAACCACACACAGGGTCCAAATGAAGTAGGGACCATCACTATGTCCATCAATGTGTCCATCACTGTGGCTCTAACATAAACATCCTCTCCACACACACACACACACCTTCATGACCTGCCCTTTATTCTCAGAGATATGAAAGGAGATGAATTTATTGAGTGACAGTCTGAGAAGATATGCTCCCTGAAAGCTTTAGAAGAGGCATGGAAACAAACTAGGTCTAACCAAAACGTTCCAACTCTGGTTTATAAAATAATAATAATAATAAAGATGAATGGTGTAGGTGTATTTCGCCATCGAAATGTGGGCCATTGTTGACATTTCATTAAAAACAAGGTTATACTGTTGCTAATTTCAATTCATAGGACTAGCATTGACATTAAACTACTTGTGCAAAATCACAGTAAACTTAAATGTCATCAGATGACTAAACATGCCAAAACACAAGATTGGTGCTTTTTGATGGACTTTTTTTCTAGTACACTTTACAAAGTCATCAAACCAAAGACATATAAAAAAAAAAGTAACATATTATTTAATACTCACTCCCATTGTTTTCTTCTGGCTTGTGGAGTGCTCTGCAATTTATGGGACTGGTGGGCTTTGATGACATCACGGTGGTCCACTAGGGCCCCTCTCCTTCTGACAGGAGGAACCAGAGAATCACTGGGCATCAAAGAGTAAAGTGTCCCATCCATCACCACGGTTTCCCCATTGGTTTTGCTGTAGTCAAAGGAGTCAACCTGGCATGCTTCATCACTCATGTCATACACAGTATGATAGTAGGTGGGGTTGGCACAAACGCTGCTCCCGCTGGTAGGAGGATGACAGCGCAGTTTGTGGCCCTGTGGCTGCACTCTCCCACCCTTCCGCAAGGACGGCGCTCTCTCCATGATGACTGAGCTGTCTGCATACATGGGAGACAGCATGGCTCTATGGGGAAAAAAAATAGAGTAGGGGTAAAATAGTATGTGGCAAAACAAGTATGTCTGAATTCAGAGTACTCATAAAATAGTAGACAAAAGTACCCGTACGTAACTGACGCTGGTCACATGATAATGACAACATGGCAAATGTAGCACATCCAGATTACATTCATAATGCACACACTCATACTATATACTGTACATACTTTTTTAGCTGACGTAAAGTATTCAAAATAAGTACCAACTCAAGAGAATATGCAGTTTCGGACGCAGGTTTTATTGTTAGAAATGATTTTGGTGTGATTTTTTTTTTTTTTTTTTTTTTTTTGAAGAATATGGATATTTAAGTTAAATTCAAAGAAAAAGATCATTTATCTTTTATGATGAGTATAATGTTGATTAAAATTCATACAAGACCTTACAAGATCTTTTTCTTAGAATTTGGTTTTCTATAATTTTACTAATTATACCAGTAAAATCAGTAAGAGGATTTATCCATAAACATAAATGAGCTTTCAATCTATCTTTCCTCTGATTTATAATGCATACTACCCTGTTTGTATAATAATAACAATAATTCATAATACATTTTCTCTATTTATTATTGGAAAATATGTATGTTGCGATGATGTTCATGATGCTTAGAATAAACAAATACTAGAAAATAACTGAACATTTAAAATTTTGGTATTTTATAAATCGGGAGAACTACTTCGTAATTTTTTTTTTTAATCATAAATGTAAATGATAATTTGATTGATTTCTTTTGCACTTTTTATTTTATTTTTTTTTTTGTGATGGTTTTCATGATACTGTAAAAATAAAAGAAACAATACTGAAGCAACCAAAAAAGAAAAAAGAAGGACAGTGAAGGGGAAAATAGGTGACATGTTATCAAAGTAGAAAGGGAAGCAGAGGGAAGAAAAAAGCACCAAGGGAGGTTTAATTAAAAAAAGGTTGCACAGATGTTTCAAAAAAATTGGAATACACCAACGTCAGGTGAAAATAAATGATGCACTCCAGTACTACGATGTGCTGATGGTGCTTGAAGAATTTGTCCACTGTGACATGGGAGGTGGAATAAAGTAATTTAAAGTGACACATACACACTCAACACTTTCAATACCACACACATGCATAAGAAAACAATTGCAGAGCTATAGATGGGCGTTTATGGTTTTGGGATTTCTGGGGCTCTTTGAGATGCATGCAGCAACACAGGCCAATAACACCTCTACACTTCTGTTTCCGAAAGCAAAGCATTGAAAAGGTGTCAAATGCTGTAGTGACCTTCCCCAAAGTACATAGATAAAAAGAAAGGCACAGATGGAGTAAAGCACGGGAAAAGATAAGCAGAGTCCAAACTGTGAATGGAATACATTCACACACTACAGTCCTTATTGAGGCTGTGCTCTTTGTTGACAGGCAGGATTTGCTGTCAGGCTGTGATTAGAAGGGACACAGCTTGTCTCAATGATCAGACACTAAAGATGGAACTAACTAAATCTGCCTCTTTATTGTTGGCCAATGGAGAGCAAAGACATTGCGATTAGCATGCCAGTTCCAACAGGGAATATATTCAGTGAGGTGAAGGAGAACCAGAAGACATCCTGAAAGGCCTTCACACATTTTAAGGTCCCTTCCTGGAGGCTGACAACATTGTGAAATTCATGTTTTTGTATTTTTAGCTAGGAACACATCTCTTCCTCATTTAAAGGGTGTGATCCATTGGATGCTTCCTGGACAAGACAAAAGAATCATTCTTTGCTTTGTTTGCTAAAGCGACAACACCATAAATCTCACTGTAATGGCGAGGTATAGCATAAATATATCCACAAAAGGTGGTAAGATCCAATTTTGGATGATTTCTTTTTCATCATTGTGTTACAGCAAGTGGCTGTTGGTGTGGGTTGGTTCTCCATTGCACCAGCCCACAGACAGCCTCACCGTTGTGTGGGTGTGTATGAATACATGCAATAGGGTGACATTGACTGTACAAAGTTCTCCAAAACCACAAAAACGTTCCCATAAAAATAATGGCCATCAGAATCCCTACTCAATGATGTCAACAGTTTTTCTGGACTGAACTAGATTTTTTAACTCTCCAGTATATTAGGCGATGTGTATGTCTGCAAATGAAAAATTAATTGAACTGTTATCAGAAATGGTTGATGAAGTTCAGTCTCAGCCAATTCTGATGCTGACATGTATTGTTTAATAGAAGGACGAAGGAAAATGTTTGAACAAACAATAAAATGATTTGCTGCTTTTAGTACCCTTCATAGCATAAATAATATGCTAACTGCTGAGTGAACACTGGCTGAAAGCCATCACACAACAGCAAATGATTGGCAGCAGAACATCTAACAAATACAAAAGTCCTGTACCAAACAATAAAAATGCACTGCTGTGATACTGTGGTATACTGAATATACACTCACCTAAAGGATTATTAGGAAAAGCAGTTCAATTTCTCATTAATGCAATTATCTAATCAACCAATCACATGGCAGTTGCTTCAACGCATTTAGGGGTGTGGACCTGGTCAAGACAATCTCCTGAACTCCAAACTGAATGTCAGAATGGGGAAGAAAGGTGATTGCCAGACAGGCCAGACGGGCTTTCAGACTGCCAGACCCAGTCTGAGAGTATTTCACAATCTGCTCAGTTACTGGGATTTTCACGCACAAGCATTTCTAGGGTTTACAAAGAATGGTGTGAAAAGGGAAAAACATCCAGTGTGCGGCAGTCCTGTGGGCGAAAATGCCTTGTTGATGCTAGAGGTCAGAGGAGAATGGGTCGACTGATTCAAGCTGATAGAAGAGCAACTTTGAAATAACCACTCGTTACAACTGAGGTATGCAACAAAGCCACGACACACAAAACCTTGAGGCGGATGGGCTACAACGGCAGAAGACCCCACCGGGTACCACTCATCATCTCCACCACAAATAGGAAAAAGAGGCTACAATTGGCAAGAGCCCACCAAAACTGGACAGTTGAAGACTGATGAGTCTCGATTTCTGTTGAGAAATTCAGATGGTAGAGTCAGAATTTGGCATGAACAGAATGAGAACATGGATCCATCATGTCTTGTTACCACTGTGCAGGCTGCTGGTGGTGGTGGTGTAATGGTGTGAGGGATGTTTTCTTGGCACACTTGGCGCTTAGTGCCAATTGGGCATCGTTTAAATGCCACGGCCTACCTGAGCATTGTTTCTGGCCATGTCCATCCCTTTATGGCCACCATGTGCCCATCCTCTGATGGCTACTTCCAGCAGGATAATGCACCATGTCATAAAGCTCGAATAATTTCAAATTAGTTTCTTGAACATGACAATGACTTCAAAATGGCTAAATGTACTAAAATGGCCCCCACAGTCACCAGATCTCAACCCAATAGAGCATCTTTGGGATGTGGTGGAACGGGAGCTTCGTGTCCGGGATGTGCATCCCACAAATCTCCATCAACTCACAGCAAGATGCTATCCTATCAATATGGGCCAACATTTCTTTTTTTTTTTTATATATATTTATTTATCAACTTTTTCAAAGCATTAACAGAAAGCATTAACATAAAGCAGATAAAGAATGCTTTCAGCACTTTGTTGAATCAATGCCACGTAAAATTAAGGCAGTACTGAAGGCGAAAGGGGGTCAAACACAGTATTAGTATGGTGTTCCTAATAATATTTTAGGTGAGTGTATAAGGCAGTGAAATCATAGTACATTGATATATTCCATGGTATTTACCTTGTACTCCAATGTATTTCAAAGAGTATTACCATGGCAAATGACCAATTTCAAGGTAGGCTACGTTTCAACCAAAGAAAGATGAAATATTCTCTGTCATGCCCCAGTTATTAGATAGATAGATAGATAGATAGATAGATAGATAGATAGATAGATAGATAGATAGATAGATAGATAGATAGATAGATACTGTAATTTTACATTTAACATATTAATTTTATATATTTTTCAAAACAATATAGTCTATACATTTTAATTAACGTTATTTGTATATAGAGAAAAAAATTTATGTAGCCTAGATATAAACATCTTTATGTAGGCTATATAACGTTACAGAAAAATAAGCGAACAGAGAAGAGGAACACTTTCCACGACACTTACCAGAAAGGTTTGTGTTTTTTTCTGAGAAGATCCTGGAATCTGGACCCGTCCGGATCACCTGTAGTTTATAACTGACTAAACTAACAATAAAACTCCACAAACTGATAGGTCCGAGGTCCGTTTTCTCAGAGCAGGAGGTCATTTCCATCTTCAAGCTCGTATCATTCTGTCTTTAAGTATTTTTCTTGGACAAAACAAATAATTTGTATTTTCTCTCAGTGTAATATTGGTATTCCTGTCAGGAGTGACAGCTCACGAAGGCTCTCAAGAAACGACTCTACGTGGCGCGAGACCCGCATGCGTTTGTACGAGGAGTCTCGCGCTCAGTGCGCGAACGAATACGTGACTGTAATGGCACTGAGTGTCGCGCGGACTAAAACTACGCGTTTTGATTGCTGCTGCGCGATGGGTGAGAGACGGTGTGGTTGTGCTTATTATGGGAGCCTACACATTATTATTCATTCGGGACAGGTGAATGCGAATTTCACTAATCAGCCGTTGGGCTATACGTAAAAATAAATGTCCACAAATAATAAAATGTCGTATAATAATTCATAACAAATGACAATTATTGGGTTGATTTTACATTTTATAGATTATGAATTAGGCTATAAGACGTAAGAAAGAGAGTCTGAATTGTCAGATGACGGTAAAATGCTGACTCAACGTCTTACTCAGCTTTGACCATTAGTGACATAAAACATTCGTCATAAGGCATTCGTCATAAGACATGTATTAAATTCGATACACAAAAGATAAAATAATAAATAAACAATGTTTCTTATTATTTTAGAGTCATGCTCGTGGTGTCAATATCCAAATGTACATATAAAAAAAATAAATCAGAGGATATATTTACCATCAGAACATATCAACGAAATAAATCATAGTGATTATAATCTTGTCAGAAAAGTGCTCAAACCATAGGTGTAATATAGCAGAATAGGTTACAGACAAATATTTGTATTTATTTATTTTTATTTTTGCAATAACAACCCTGGTGTTATAAACAATCAATATAAAAGACTATGCACATTGCTCCTCTTAATAAGAAAAATAACAATACTTGCCAAAATGGCAATTCATGAGTTGCCAGTTGTTCCTTGAATCCTCTAGGCCTGAGCAGAATCCATTTTGGACACAGATGAATCTGGCACGTCTGTACGGTTCTGTATATCTGTTTAGCAGCGGTTTCTTACAACACACTTGGAAAAACTAAATAACTAAATAAAAAGCTTATTAAACTTCTGTCCACACATATAGTTGGAAGCAGCATGAATACATTAACATCAATCTCTAAAATCTCACCTGCTTGTTATCCACATCAAAGTGTCCTACTTAGCACTACTTACTTGTGTATATATGAAAAATGAAAAATACAGCCACAAAGAAATGTTTAAAACAGTCATTTATTTCTCAAAATCAGTCAAAACATATGAATATTTTTAGCATAGTGTGGTCAGTCGCATCCCTAAAAATCAGTGAGCACAGAGACAAATTCAAAAAAGGGTCAAACAGGAGCTACACTGGTCAATTTGACAGCCTCTGATTGGCCAGCTGGGCTGATGAGTGTATGTCCCTGTGTTCCAGAAGGACAGTGGGAGGATCAGCTGGTTCTCATGCCGTCCCTGCTGAGATATCTCCCTGGGTCTGGATTATTTGTTACCACGGTGGCGACATGGGCTGCGGGTTCTGCAAATACGACATCACGACTGCTGATATGGACAGCCTGAAGGAATAAATACATGTTTCATTGGGAATACAATCCCAGAAGCATAACATTTGAGAAATTCTTCAGGTAGGCTAACCGTTAACGTTGATCAATTAAAGAAAAAAATTGTGGAATTAATTATGAGAATGACAAATGAGCATAAGCAACTCACATGAAGCTACTCATCATCTGTTTAGTGTCTTCTGAGCTTCGTGAATTGGCGAAACTGATGAACGAGCAATACACTGCAATCCATGCACACCATTTAAGCTGCCAAACACATAAATGAAACACAATTTGACATTACATAATCACTGAGAATCATTATGCTCATGTTTTAATCCCAAACAGTGAGCATTTATTAAGTAAACAGCATCGTTGACTGTAAACAGGTGTTTTTGTAGATGAGAATGAGGTCACCTTGAGCATCAGGCCACACATACTGAATATCATGCCGAGCAGGTTCATGTAATCCGGTGTAGGATCTTCCAATGTCGGGTTCGTTTCGGTATTGGGAGGCTTGTAGCTGTTAAACAAACACATACCTCAACTATTAATAGTCTGTGCTATAAATGCTGCCTGTTTTTTTTTTTTTTTAATCCAGCATCGATTTCATATCAAATACACAGAACACAAACATCACATGATTCCCCCAGAGATAGCCATAAAGACACACAGTATCTAGGTGGGAAAAAAAACGTAATAAATAAAGAATTAGATAACATAAATATGCAACGGCAACGATACATTTGCTGTCAGTAATAAAGTAAGTTATCACTACTTAAAATTTTTGAATTTATATTTGTACAATTGAACAAGTAACATTAATAAAATGACTATTTAATTTAAAATATATTATTAGGTAAAACTCATACATCTATCGTCAGTGAAAATCTGGTTAAATCTCTACTAATCATTAGCTGAACTGTGGCTAACAGGGATGCTAACGAGAACCAATCCATCACAGTAAATTAAAAAATTGTTAAACACAGACATAATACTCACCGAAAGATCTTATTCGGTCTCCTTGGGTCTGCCATATTGTTTAGGGTCATATTTTTAAAAAATCCTAATAAAATGAAAACTTCTTTGAGGGGTTTAAGAGCAGCACGTCAGCTAACAGCTGACCTGTGAAATTCTACTACGCCTCACTGTGTTGTATGTAAAGCTATATGTGGTGCACTAGCACCCCCTGCCGCTAAGGAGTGTTAATGTAGGCTAGGTGTGTGTGGAAAATTCAGATAACAGTCAGTGGTAACAATTTATTTGAGACTAAAACAATTATTTTATTATTAAAATGCAAATACTGTTAAGAAATAGTGGTAAGTGAAAATGCCACAATTAATGAATTCTAAATTTCAGTCTGTTACATTTACATTTATTCATTTAGCTGATGCTTTTATCCAAAGCGACTTACAATTGCTAAATATGTCAGAGGTCGCACGCCTCTGGAGCAACTAGAGGTTAAAGTGTCTTGCTCAGGGACACATTGGTGTCTCACAGCGGATTCGAACCCGTGTCTCTCACACCAAAGGCATGTACAATGTGCTATTAAAGAAGCATGTATGTTTTGCATTCCATGATTCACTTATCAAACGTTTTTAATATTTTTCATATCAAGATAAATGCATATGTACACAAACACAAGAACCATTCAAACATTACATTTTATTTATTTTCAGAAGATAAAATACAAAAAGCACCTTATTTTAATAGACAGCAATTTGTTGACTTAAATTCAATGACATTTTACTTGTTTCTTCCCTTACGAAAATTAACCATTGTTTTTTTATAGTAAAAGTGTAGTAGCCACAGTTTTTTGGCAGATTGAGTAACCGCAGTTTTACAAAATTACCATGGTTAAACAATGGTTAGTGTAGCAAAACCATGGTTACTTTGTGGTTACCATGGTTTAACTATAATAACCATGAAATATTTATTTTTTATTTTTTTGTAGTAAAACCATGGTTATTTTTCGTAAGTGTTAGTCTTGTGAAACCTCAAATATTTTTTTTAATCCCTTGTGAACCATAAAATGTCTTGCAGTTGATGTTATTTATTCACAGCTGTCCATGAAGATGTTGAACTGTAAGGAGTCATTGTTCTTCTGACAGTATTTGCCTTTATGAGTCCTTCTCTTGTAAAGCCGCAGAATTCATCTCAGAGAGTTCAACATCCCTCTCTGATTCCGTGGACACTGTGTGCCTTTAATACATAAATAAATAATCAATATTTCACATTGTGATCTTATATCAAAGTGCAGTATTGTGGAATTTAATATTTGTTGTTGTGGTATTTTGTGTGATTCAGCAGAAAGCAATTTTGCCATCCTTATATACTGGATATATGATCTGATGATACTATACCTCCCCTCCTCTATATCCAGAATGTTCTCAGGAAGCTGAACATTGGTGGTCTCAGGCAGCAGGAAGACCACAGATCCGCTGAAAACTGCAGTGGCAGCAAACACTAGAGGCGGTCCAAAGCTCCACACGTCCTCCAATAATATGACCATGGGGGCGAGCGCACCTCCGAGACGGGCTATAAAAGAGGTGTAGCCTAAGCCGCACTGCCTACAAAAGATACAGAGAAGCAGAGTTAGTTGCTTCATTCCAAAGACAAGAGGTAAAATAAAATAATTAAGCAAATAAATTAATTAGATCAATTAATTAAAAAAGTGATTGAAATTAAAAAGTAGTTAGTTAGTTATTAATTAAATAAATCAGATTCAAATAAATAAACAGTTATTAATTATTAATATAAATAAAAAAATAACTAGAATTACATAATTAAACAAATAAACAAATAAATAAATAATACATTTAACAGATAATATATACTGTATATATATATATATATATATATATATAATGAATAGCCAAAACGCTTTAAAAGGTTTCAGTTTTTGTTGAAAATGGTGGCGAATGGTGTAAATGGGCCAACAAGTGGTGTAAACTTGTAAACATGGAACAGGTGTGGGTAATGAGACTAACGGAGCAGCAATGAAAACTGTGTCTCATTTCAGAAAAGTAACTATTATAACATTGACCGTTATTCCTTGTGAAGCATACGTTTTGTGGATTTTTATTATGACTTTTAAGAAATGAGACATCATTGATGACATAAGTAGCTGACAAATGTGACCTCCAGAGGAGGCAGTCTTCGAAATGAGACACAGCTAAATAAAACAGGAACTATTCACAGGAAGTCAAACAGCAGGAACAATAAAAACAAAAATACACTTCAAAATAAGAGTCCTTAAACAAAAGACATGAGTTGTAACAGAAATAATTTAACAAACTAATTTTAGATTTATAATATTAACTTTTCAATCTAGGGTAAATTTGCAAAAGATTGACGTCTTAAACATTTTGGGGTGGGGGTCCCTCACACGAGGATGATCATATTTGGGGATCCATGGCATATGAAAAATTGAAAACCCTTGGCAATAATATTTTATCTAAAATAACATTTTAAATATCATTTTATCTAAAATTGTACAAGTGCTGTATTTTTTCAAATACCGGAGTACTGTAGGGTAGAGCTCAGATGTGTACAAGAAAGCAATGGTAAAGGCTGCCTCAGAGAATCCCTTCCCAATAACTGCAATTCCTGTACGCACAGCAGCCAACTCTGCAGATGAAATTGCACAATTATTCAATAATTCATATATCCACCATCAAATATGGTAAAGAGGTCGAAGATAAAGATGTAGCCTGATAAAGAATGAAGAAGTACCTGTTGGGATTAAACTGTTTAGTCCAATCAGAGTTCCTGCTATAATGAGAGACCACGCCTGGCCGTTTCTCCGTCCAATCCTATCCAGAGTGAAGTAGGTCCCAACCTTAGCTGGGACTTCAATGACTCCATAGACAAACTGCGTGAGATAGATGTTCAGACCAAACCCAGTGATGTTGAAGCTGATCCCATAGTAGGTAAAAGCAACTGCAAACCTGTCAATTCAAATGAATATTGTTAATTAAAAAACAACAAACAAACAGCTGTTGACTTTTATATTACAATGGAGAAAAAAAAAGGTCCATACCAGAAGATCCCTGACAAAAGCACAATCTTCCTCAGTTTCGGTGTCCTCACTAGATCAAGGTAGGAATGTTCCTTTTCAGAGACCTCAGAAATGGTGATTTTCTTTAAGGTCTATATATGACAATCAGATGTTTTATTTAGTTTTTAATAAAGGATCAAAATTGGTTATAAGAAATGAAAGCCTGGCTAGGTGTTTACCTCAGTTTCTAGTTTATCAGTGTACTTTCTATTCATCTTGGCGCACTGAGTGAGATACTTCTGTGCCTCTTCTACCCTGCCTTTGGCCAGCAGCCATCTTGCCGACTCAGGAATCCACCTTTTGAGGTGAATTGCAAAGGAGAAAAATAGTCATGATTGACATTTAGAGGCCTAAAAAGATGCATTATATTTTTGTAAAAATATAAATAATATCTGTATGGTGCATCTGTAATATTTGACAATATTTTATTCCTTTTTAATTGTTTGAACTTCAAATCCCACCATTTTTTTTCCTGGTCCAATAACCCGTTATTCTTTCACTTGCAGTTCCACCACTCACCACCAAGCAATTATGCCAACAAGGCAGGGTGATGTCACTACCAGGATGAGGTGGCGCCAGTCCCTGATGAGATATGCCAGAAGAGCCAGAAGCATGTTCCCTACACTCCATCCGAGACTGATGATGGTACCCGTAAATGTGCGATGTTTAATGTCTGTCCACTCAACACCTGTAGAGTGAGCAAAGATCTTGTTAGTGTCAGTGAAAACAATACTGTGAATAATCTGGTAGTGTTAACAGAGATCTTTTTCAGATTATGTCTTTTATTCTAAGCGCAACATGATACTTTCTCAACCTACACTCACATAAAGGATTATTAGGAACACCTGTTCAATTTCTCATTAATGCAATTATCTAATCAACCAATCACATGGCAGTTGCGTCAATGTATTTAGGGGTGTGGTCCTGGTCAAGACAATCTCCTGAACTCCAAACTGAATGTCAGAATGGGAAAGAAAGGTGATTTACTGTAAGCAATTTTGAGCGTGGCATAGTTGTTGGTGCCAGACGGGCCGGTCTGAGAGTATTTCACAATCTGCTCAGTTACTGGGATTTTCACGCACAACCATTTCCAGGGTTTATAAAGAATGCTGTGAAAAGAGAAAAACATCCAGTGTGCGGCAGTCCTGTGGGTGAAAATGCCTTGTTGATGTTAGAGGTCAGAGGAGAATGGGCCGACTGATTCAAGCTGATAGAAGAGCAACTTTGACTGAAATAACCACTCGTTACAACCGAGGTATTCAGCAAAGCATTTGTGAAGCTACAACACGCACAACCTTGAGGCGGATGGGCTACAACAGCAGAAAACCCACCGGGTACCACTCATCATCTCCACTACAAATAGGAAAATGAGGCTACAATTTGCAAGAGCCCAGCAAAATTGGACAGTTGAAGACTGGAAAAATGTTGCCTGGTCTGATGAGTCTTCTATTGAGACGTTCAGATGGTAGAGTCAAAATTTGGCGTGAACAAAATGAGAACATGGATCCATCATGCCTTGTTACCACTGTGCAGGCTGGTGGTGGTGGTGTAATGGGGTGGGGGATGTTTTCTTGGCACACTTTAGGCCCCTAAGTGCCAATTGGGCATCGTTTAAATGCCACAGCCTATCTGAGCATTGTTTCTGGCCATGTCCATCCCTTTATGGCCACCATGTGCACATCCTCTGATGGCTACTTCCAGCAGGATAATGCACCAAGTCACAAAGCTTGAATCATTTCAAATTGTTTTTTTGAACATGACAATGAGTTCACTGTACTAAAATGGCCCCCACAGTCACCAGATCTCAACCCAAAAGAGCATCTTTGAGATGTGGTGGAACGGGAGCTTCGTGTCCTGGATGTGCATCCCACAAATCTCCATCAACTGCAAGATGCTATCCTATCAATATGGGCCAACATTTCTAAAGAATGCTTTCAGCACTTTGTTGAATCAATGCCACGTAAAATTAAGGCAGTTCTGAAGCCGCAAGGGGGTCAAACACAGTATTAGTATGGTGTTCCTAATAATCCTTTAGGTGAGTGCATTTTTGCTTCAATTAGGATGCATCAAATTGTTAAAAAGTGAAATATTTATAATGTCGCAAAAGGTTTTAATTTTGAATGAATGCTGTTCTTTCGAACTTTCTATTCATCAAATAATCCTAGGATCAGTTTTGATCATGTTGACTAGAGAGATTGAAGATTAAAGAAATGATAAAATGATAGATACACAGGGCCACTGTGGTGATAGACATCCCGGTCAAGGCAAGTCCGCACAAGGTCCTTGCTATGGCGAACATCACGTAAGATGTAGAAAAAGCCTCGGCAATTCCAAAAATAGCACTGACCACAAAGGACACCTGAATCATTGGCTTACGACCAAACCTGTGGAGTGATTTGAAAGACAAATTTAACCACACAGGATATTACACCGTTTTATAAGAGTGAAAATCACATGCTCTTTACACACATAGCCTGAGGTATAAGCAGTTTTAGATGTAGGTTTAGCTGTGAAGTTCCGTGACAAATAATGAATATAACTCAATTGTGAAAGCAAATAATGATAATGAATATGTACAAATCAGCTATGCAGAACAAATCAAGGGGAATTAATCATTTTTCAACCTCAGACATGTGAGTAAAGACACTTTATTGTAGTAAAATCATGTGGCCAACTTTGAGCCTAAGGAAACTCGGATATGGCCAAAGAAAATAGTAGAAAATAATTGGTCATAGAAAAAATATTATGGAACAAATAATATTGATAAACAATGACATACTTGTCTGCCAACTGGCCAAACACAACCGCACCGATTGTCACTCCAATGAAGAAAAATGTGGCAAGGGCTTGGTTTAGCTTTTTGTCGTCACATACCAGGTCCCACTAAAAAAGAGAGACAAATCACACCTTGCAGATTTCTTATATTGTCTTTGTTAAAGATCATACAGGTGAAACACAGTCCATGAACAGCATGACAATGAATTAAAATTTTCATCAACATATAAAATAGCGCATTCTCAACTGGGGGTCTCAAGATGGCTTACGATGATTTATAATATGACAAAGCTAGAATTGCTAAAAATCAAGTTGCAAACTGGAATCGTATTTCTTATTTTAAATAATTCGCTCAAAAAAACATATTTTTTTAAGAACCAGGCTTGTCATGGTCTTGGAAAATCAGGACATATGACTAAATTTTCAGTGTGAATCCTTGACCCGGAAAAGTCATGGAAATTTCTATAATGAATAGGAATTAGTTATGCCAAACTACACTATGAAAAATACTGTGTTGTTTTAACCCAATCTTGGGTCAAATATGGACAAACCCAGCAATTGGGTTGATATTTTTAATAAAATTTTTAACCAAATGTTCGAGTTTGTCCATATTTGACCCAAAATTGGGTTAAAACAACCCAGCATTTTTTAGAGTGTTGAAATTAACATTTATGAGTAAAATCCCCATAATCAGGAAAGATCGAAAAAAGAAAACAAACATTTAAATTCATTGGTAATAAAATGTGTAAACCCTGAAGAAAATAATTATTAAAATGTATGGAATTATAAAAATAATAATTATTTTGTTACATTTAATATATGCTCAGTTAAAGTAAATTAAAAAAAAAAACTGTAAAAATGAGCACCTTTGTCTTTACATAATGTTGTAATGTTCTAATGTTGTCTTTGACACTGGGGGGGCCTTTGAGTTGATAATAGTTCACTGAAATAGAGGAAAATGCCTCGTATTCTTACCTCGGTGGCGGTTGTTGAGGTGAACTGTGAGCGATCATATGTCCATCCGTGCTGGCATGGCACCGACACATTTGATCGGTTCCCATACAGTAGGGACAGGTCACCATTAGGGTCAAAGTCCAAGGGAATAGGGTACATCTTGCAGGAGCTATAGGAGCCATCTGCATTACGTGGGATGCCAAAAGCCAGAATCTGTGCCGATTCACTGTCCTTCTCTGCGGCACCCGTGTACCAGCCGTCCAAGTGAGGCAGGGCACAGTGGTGGGATGGCACACCAGAGATAAAGTTGTGGAGCAGGAAATGCAGTGGAAGGATGACCCGTGGGAGCCACAGGATGTATAGAACCAGAAACTGGAACTTGTTGAAGCCACCAATTTCTTGAAGAATATCGTCAAACCTCATAGCTGAAAGTTAGATAAGCTACCAAGTAGATATGATATCTGTTTGTGTGGTTTTTATTTTGCGAATGCTCTTTCTACTCACCCATCAGAATAGAGATCTTCTCAATGAAATTTGCTCTTAGAGACACACTTGGTTTGGTCTACAGTGAACGGCGAGTAGAGAGTCGTCTGAGGAGATGAGCAGTGCTGAATTGCTATATGTTTTCATAACACTCTTCCCTGTCATGCTTTTTAGGGTCTGAATGAGACACAAGAAGGTCTTTGTCTTGGTATGCTCAAGAAAAAGAAGAATCCCAGGCCTTAAAAGTTCACTATCCCTCACCTGACTAGTCGGAGAGAGGAAAAGGAAAATACATTAGTTCCATAAAAACATGAGTCTGTGGGAAATACCATGTAAATATCAGCGTTATAAATAAATACCACAGAAAAACAAAACAACTTTAAGTTAATTCAGGCGAAAAACAAAGTAAACTCTAAATTAGTACTCAAATTAAGATTGTAGAAATGAAAGCGTACATACTGTATCATACAAGTAAAACCAACTCAACTTTCTGATATTTGTGTTCCCATAAAGCACTAGGGCATTATTTAACTAATAAGATTGAATTTTTCACTGTTTTCCAGCTATATTTAAACTGTTTTATCATTGCTTTTGTTGGTTTGGTTTAGTAACTTGCTCTTTTGGGACATCTGGAGTTCATTTTACTCAAGATGATGACAAATTCATTCTCAAAAATTATCCAATGAATGTTACCGTTATTGTGTATTTTGCACCAAGTATTGAAGTTTCATGTGTTTGGCTGGGTACCACATTAATTTTATTATGTAGATATGTCATCCACACGATATCTACTGTTTAGTATATACTTTAAAAGCATGGCTTAATATAGTGTTATATTGATGGAGTTAAATGTACATGGAACAGAGTATTGCAAGGTAAGCTTCAACTGAGTAGAAATGATTACTCAACAAACTCTAATTCGCCAAGTTGAAGTCACTTATTACCTTATTACTTAATTCAAAAATGAGTTATTTTGAAAAGCTGTGTGCAAAAATGAAGTGTGTATATATACGTGTAACACAAGCGAGTTGACTGACTCGTTCATTTTTCGTAAATCAGACATACAAAAACGCAAATGTTTTTAATGACTGTGAAGAATGTGTCACTTGTAGAAAAACAACAACATAACACGACTAAGACTTGATCATTTTATGCTCCTTGTTCCAACCGAAATCTCACTTAACATCTCACCATTGTAATCAGAGCAAAAGAGGTGAAAATTGTTCATTTAGAAATAATCCGTATTGACAATTATTAATAATGTGTGATTTCTGCCATGCTTAGAAAATGAGATAACTCAGCGTAGAACCCACAATATATTCATTTAAGAAAACTAAAACCCAAATACTTTACTATTTCCTTTGCCTGATAAAAATAAAGAAGTCTCTGCAAGAAATACTGAAAAGAATATATACAAGCATACAGCATTATCATCAAACACTTTTAACAAGCTAAAGACAAGGCATGCCCATCATCACAAGGTTTACAAAGAGGGCCGAGCTGCAGACCAGATGAAATCTGTGAATTTGTCCTTGGATATGTGGCAGATTTTACAATGTTCTGTGTGTCTGGTGGTTTATAATAATTTGTGCTGCCTAAATACACATAATATACTGTATGATTGATTTAGATGTTGTAAATAATTATACATTATTATAGTGTGTCAAGGGTCAAAGACAACTTGGCATCTAACTAATAATAAAGTACACCTTCAAAAACATATTGAATTAAATATGCACAACAGAACAACACATACAGTATAGCACCGATTAAGCTAAATGTGACATTTCCTCCATTATATTCCAAAAAACTTCCAGTAAAGTGAAAGTTCTACATTGTTTACCCTTATAGTACAACATAAAATTATTTGGTGCAGAATCCAAAATAAGAACTATAGCCATTCAAAGATTAGGAAGAACATTAAATGAATTCAAAAGGTTCATTTTGGTCAATGGGGCCGATTACATGTTGAGGCAATATGTTCAAGTAATTGAGACGAAACAATCCCAGTAAACAGCACCGTGTCTTATCTGGCTGCAGCTGTTTTGTTGCTTGTGCTTTTTTCCCTTTTCACAGGTACTGTGTTCTTCGATTGAGCAGAAGCTTTGGTTTGATTCCTAATGGGTGTATTGGTGGGTTGGTTTGGTGATGGTTTGGCATCCTTTGCAGAACCACTGCAAGTAGTAGTCCTAGACTTCAGTGGGAGATCCACAGTGGTACGGAGGGCAAACGGCTGCTTGCGAGATTCGCTAACTGCAGTTCGTAGGGGTGGCCTATGGGGCGAAGGGCTAGCTATACGGGTTGAAGAGAAAGTGCAGTTTGTTGTGCTTAAGCTGCGACGGGACGAAGCCGGAATACAGGAGAGAGGCATGCGATTGCTTCCAATTGGCTTGGTAGAACAAGATAATGTTGATTTTGATCTTGTGTGAAGTGGTGGAGCACTTGTTCCTGATTGGGGTTGTACCTTTGACCTAAGGTGAATAAAAAAAAAATTAAAAAAAAAATTAATTTACCATAGTCATACTTTTGGTATGGTGTCAACTGGATTGCGTAAAATTCAGAATTAAAGAGATGGCTCCAATTAAATTCTTAAAGTTCACCCAAAAATGGACACATAGTTGAGCCACTGTAGTCACATGGAATATTTAAACATTTTCTTCAATGACTTTCTGAGCCGTCAAGTTTCGATCCCTTTGGGTGCCTACGTGGTAGTGACCCAGCTCTCAAATTGAATCAAAAATATCTTCATTTGTGTTCCAAAGACGAACAAAGGTCTTATTTCGCATGCGAAATTCTGTTCACACCGAATTTCGTGTGCGCTATTCGCCGAAGTTTAACGTCTTGTGACTAAACAATGGACGCCAATGTGAGTGTGCACCGTCATTTAAAAAAAAAAAATGCCTCGGGTCGTTTTTTTAGTTTGACGCGCTGCGTCAAAAACTATCCGACCAATGAGATTGCCGCTTTTGCTCACGTGTTTGAAACTTCTGAAATTACAGTAAAACAGAACTTGGGGGAGCTCAAACACAAAACGGAGAAGAAGATAGTAGCGTTGCCGACTAAACACCGCGGGAAGAAATAAGACGAGGAAGATGGAAGGCAAGATGAATGTAGAGCTGCTGTTCTCGTTGGTGTTAGAACATATGACAAAGGCGACAGGGACTACAAACATCTTGATAAAAGAAAACTGATATGGAGTGGTATTGCAGAGCAAATTGGCGCCATTTAATGTCAGGGAATGAATTTGCATGTTCACTCGGCTCATCGTCAGCGAAAATCGCTTGGGTGTGAACACAAAAAACGCGTTGAAAAAACGCTGACGAATAAGGCGCGCTGATATTCGTCCCAGTGTGTACGGGCCTTTACGGGGTTGGTACAGCATTGGGGTGAGTAATTAAAGACTTAATTTACATTTTTGGGTGAACTAACCCTTTAAGTTTGAATTTAAATGTTCTTCATCCTTTTGAAAACGGAATTGGAATTTGAATTGAAGTTGCAATCCAAAGAAATTCAAAATAAATGCATTCTCAATTTGATTCTAAATGGTGCACAACCTTGGCTGTCAAACATGCTTGAAGAAGTGAACTTACCCATTGCTTGCTTTTTGTTCTAATTTTGCATTTCCAGCTTCAGGTTGGATAACAGGAGCCACTACTACTAGTTTAGTTGAAGGCTTTCTTATTGGGGTAACTGGCCGTGGGATCCTGCTGTGCCACTCTGTTTGGTTCTTTTCCTCAGCCGCCTTCTTGAGTTTCTTGACAGAATCATCAGATACGTGAATATCTTCCTCTGAGCCTGTAGTAGAAAGAGTCTCTGAAGGTCTCTTGGGCTCGTCTCCAGAAGATAGTGAGGATGAAGTCCTGGAATTTAGTCTCATCCAGCGGCCCTGACGTTGTCTTTCTACAGCTTGACGGGCCAAGTCTTGCTGCATGGCTCTTCTACGCAGTTGCTCTTTGGTGGGCAGGGATTGTTCAGATCCTGGCTCTTCTTCTGGGACTAGGATAGGAATTCGACTTTTGCTCGTTGGTCGTGGAGGTTTAGAAACACTTTCAGGTACTGTGTTCTCTTCTTGACATTCCTCTTTTAGTTGTTTATCCTGTTTGGATTCAGTTGATGAACCTTGATGGATGGGTTCCCTAGACTCTAAGAGTCCAGGAACCACAAGACCTTCCCATTTTTTTGCAGTCTCATGCAGAACATTGAGTACCCGAGGCTCCTCTGTAAGAGTCTGAGAGGTCACTTCAGACTGGACACATGCTGCAACTACTCCTGGCTCTTGAGAAAGGATGGACTTGTCTTTTATCCGCTTGGATTGTGATTTGCCTTCAACCTCCTCTAAAACTTCAAGAACCTGTGCACCACTGGAAGACATGACATTCAGATGGGTTGTCTCTGCAATGTGTACAAAAGTTCGCTCCACTTTGGAGAAAGGGGGTGATGCAATTGAGGCTGAGGCCACCAAAGCTGTTGAGACAGTTACCACCAGTTTAGATGTTTGTATGGATGGGTCAACACTAATTGCATCAGGTTGCCTTGAATCTGAAGACCTCTCTGCCTGGTTTATGTCCTCCTGGACCTGTCCCTCTAGTTGACCAACTTCATCCAACTGCTCATTTTGAGGCGGGGCATCAGATCCCGCCACAGCTTGCTCCACATCCACCGCATTTATAACATTGGGAGACTTCTTTGTGTCTCCTGGTGAAAACAAAACCAGGGTGTTCGAGACGTCCTCTTGGTCAGGATCTACTTCAGCGACAGAACCCGGTTCTTTTGGCTCCTTATGTGGATCATCGGCCACTAAGGTGGAAGGAGCCCCATCTTGACTACGCTCAGTGCTCTTTTCGCTTGCGCCACTACTAGATTCACTCTTCGTGACATCGTCATCTCTGGGTCCCTCATGTTGAGTGTCAGGCGGTGTGGCTGTGAAGGCCCGTCGCTGGTGCAGGCTTCCTGTAAGCATGACGGTGAGGAAGTCGGCTCTCTTAGCCTGCAGTTTAGGAAGGATATGAAACATCTCCTTCTCGGAGGATGGGGATTTAGTCCTGTAGTCAGTAGGTGACAATAGAGGCTCACTCGGGGTTGGTCCCTAAAGGATAACATAAAAATGCTAAAGTTACAATGCTGCCATATTGGTAAGGCAGCGTAAGAAAAATGATGAGAAACGAGATCGTGTTAAGTGAGATATTCCTGGAAAACACTGTCCAGCAACACATGCTTGCTGTATATGAGGACATACTGTACTTCATAATTGAGTTTATATATACCTTTTCTAAATATTTTATTACTTTCTAATAGATAAAATCATTGCTATACGTTATGCAACCACACAACACAACTATTTTTTTTCTCAAAGACTTTAATTATGTTTAATTACACAAGCTTTTTAAGATTGTCTAGATTACATACATAAAAAAGGCACAAAAATGTGTTAAAGAATTTTTCATTTTACAGCAGCCAGTCATATTTTGCTTTTTTTCAAGTGTATCCAACATACAGGTTTTCTATACAATACATACAGACTAAAACCAACCAAATGACATGCTTTTATGTATACAGTATTGATTTACTTTCTCTTTCTTAGATATATATGTACAATTATCCTATCATTTAAAAAAGTTTAAAACACATGCTAAACTTGGAAATATTACAAGCATACTGTACAGTGATATTGTGATACAAAAGGTAATATGCTTACTGTACATCAATCTAACAGATCACAGCCCATTTACATTACATAGCAATACCAGACTGTCATTGTAAATAAAATCTTGCTCTTAAAGGGATACTCACCATTTTTTCATATTAAACTGTGTTATTCCCTTAACTAAGAAGAGTTACAGTATACGTACCTCTGCCGTCTCAGTGCGTGCACTCAATTGCTCTGGCGCGCAAGACACTTTGATAGCACTAAACTAGCCCAGTTCATTCAATACGGGCCAAGCAGAGAAGCGACCAAACACCTCCACGTTTTCCCTTTTTAAATACAGTTACTCGAGCAGTGTAACTCGACCTAGGATGCTGACACAAAATAAAAAGTTGCGCTTTTCTAAGCGTGTAAAGTGGATAACTATATTGTATGGCGGAATACTGGGCTAGTTAAGTGCTATCAAAGAGCGATTGAGTGCATCCACCAAGACGAGAGAGGTATGTATAACTCGTCTTAGTTAAGGAAATAAAATAGTTTAATATGAAAAAACGTTGGAGTATCCCTTTAAATGACTTGCCTGGTTACATAAAAAGTTAAATAAAACCTTCTGCAACTTATTTTTACACTGTTTTTTAACAGCACACACTTAAATTAGCGTTGTTACCATTGACACGTAGTTGTTTTTAATTGCAAATATACCGAATACTAAATATTGACAACAGTCAGTGCTTGTATCAGCTCCTTCAAGAGCTTGTTCTGTGTACATTGTTGCTTTTCAGCTGTGTATCGGTGTCAAAGTAGAGTTCATTGTAGTTCAAGTGAAGCTTCTCACAACACCAAGCTAAGATTATCACTCCCTGCAGACATGATTATGCTCCACACGTCTTTGATCCATCCATCTCACTATACATTATATAGAATGACCCTGCAATCAACAATATATCATACATCATGCACATTACAGCTATGATACAGCATTTTCCCCCACCCTAAAGGTGTTATTGTGACAAAGGCATTGTGTAGAGGCATAAAGTAAAACCATCAAAGAGACTCATAAGAGCAGTTTAGTGGGATGTGATTAAATTAATTTCTTTTTGGTATTTCAGAGCATCACATGCAGATGTTCAGGTAAAAATAAAATAAAAGGCCTTCGAAAATTTTGTAAGGTACTTAAAACTAAATGAAAGTGTATGGGCCATGCAAACATTTTGTATTGGTAGATCTTACAAAAAAAAAATTATTTGTCAATTGAATATTTTGCTTTAAAATTTGCTCTGATCACTTATTATGTAAATCAATAATCAATATACAAATTCATTGAAACAGAAAGGCATAACATAAGCCATACAAAATTGTCTTAGTTTCACTTGATAACATGGACCAACTTCATTTGTTAGTCATGCAAAAATAAGGTTTTGAACTGCACTGTCTTTCCAGTACTTCCCAGTCAACAGACCTGGACAGTCTCAACAATAACGACTTTTCTTGCACCGTTAATGTCGGTGCCATTACTGTAAAATTACAGCTAAACATATTGATGTAATCCAGGCAAAAGCAAATGTGCAAAATAAGTGCAAGAGTTAGCAGCCTGTTTGGGTATACAACAGTACATTCATGTGAGAAGCCATGACTGTGACAGTACCGGGAATATAATACAGAAACCAAGTCATTTTTGAAATGTATCATTTCTGTTCTAATACAATTTCAATATTCACTGACTGAAGATGCACAAAATGAAGGTGCAGTACACACTCCAAAACTGACTTAAGTTGTATGCATGAAAAAACAACAGATTTTTGAATACAATTTTTCTGAATTCCCATGTTTCTGATGTGTTTAAAAAAAGCAGTTTAATCTTTAATTGAGTCGTTTTAAAAAATGTAATCAAAAATATTAATTAAATCAAATCTAGCGAAAGTAATGGTTTTCTAAACAATTAATGACCATAACATTTTTCTTTCCTGACAAAAGGAAAGTATAAATACAATTTCCATCAACTTTCACAATCCAGGCATGCATCTTATGTTATATTACCAACAGATATCTGCCTGCTGCAACAATAACACTGCAAGAGCCATTTAACTTTCAAGCCTGTGTTGTTTAAAACAACTTAAGCCAACATCCATAAAATGAAGTTTATTCAACAAAGGTGCTTAATTAATCACTAAATGTCTAACGTACATAATATTTTCTGGAATATGCCCTTATTTTCAGTACTTTTTAAAAATATAAACACGTGGATTTTAATTGAGAAAATGACAAATCTTCTACCGCTCAATTCAAAACCACGGTTCACGTATTGCAATCAATCACATCGCCAAGGAAACAGCTATGGCTCCAATTCAGTGTCTTTTTTAAAGTGCAATAGTGAAAACAGTACACAAAAGACCCTACAGCAGTCTCAAACATACATTTGCTACTCAATAACATACAACACAAAACTGTGCGTCCAAACCGAGACTAACTAGGAGGTATTTAATGAGATATAATGCGTACACAGTGCATTCAAAGCTCTATGCACATAAATATATGATTAAATAAGATATGGAAGCTTTTATCGACACACCTTCCAAAACACGAAAAAAAAAAAGATTCTATTTAAATGAAACTGCGTTAATATATATATATATTTTTTTGCTTAATTTATGGCTATACTAATTTTAATCAGTGGCAGAGAAACCAAAATGCGTGCTGTTCTTTCATTTCATGTGACTTCCACAACAGCCGACTCAATTATCTAATATTCCGTTTGTAAAAGATTACCAGACTCCGGCATGCCACTTCATTGGTTATAAAAGCATAAACATATTATTCCCTTTTGCTCCTATGGTTCCATTTTATATTTAAAACACTTTCATTCACCTTGCATAACATCTCCTTTGTGAGGCAAAAGCACCTTTAGAGCACAGAAAGAAAAATACTTGTTTGTAAAACTGAAAGCCTGTGTAGGTAAGGAAAATTATGTAGTATGGATGATGGCTTAGAACGTACGTGTTTGATAACTTAAATTATAATAGTAAAAATAATAAAAAGAAGACACACAATTTTTTGCATGGAAGACAATGGAATAACTTGCATATTAAAGGCAGCGGTAATGTTTCAGGTTGCAAATGCAACACATGCAACTGAGGTACACGAATAGCCACTGCAGATAATGAATTTTGGCAATATCGATTATAATTGATTTTTTAAAAATAATTAAAGTGTTTGTTCATAAGATATGAACAGCGTGTGTAAAAGCATGGCATTCCCTTTAACACGTCGTTCCCTTCTTACAGTTTATTGCATCAGAAAAGACTTCATCTTTCCCAAAAATGAATTCATCGTTCTTTAAAAAAAAAAAAAAAAAAAAAAAGTCTTTCACATCGGTGTGTGAGAAGAGAGCTTTCCTCAGCTGTTTTTGTTCATCAGTTTGGCCAGCATCTGCTGGATCTGCACGCGGGACACGTTGAGCATGGAGTGCCTGCTGCGCGGACTTCCGGGCGGCTGCAGGGGAGCGTGACGCCTCGAGCCCGATCGGAGGTTACCGTGAGCTGGGCTGCTCTCGGCCGACCTGCTGCGCTGGATGAAGGATCCTCCGGCGTGAGGGTACTGCTCGGTCTCCAGCGTCGAGGACGAGAAGACGTATGACGCGAGACGTCGCAGCTGGTTGGAGCGCGGGCCCGTGTGAGGCCTGTCATCGTCCTGCTGAAATAAAACGAGAAAGAGCCGGCGTTGAAATTCACGAGCTCAACGGAGGATTTGTATTTGTAACATTTAAGGCATCTCCCCAGTCGCATGCAGTGAGGAGAACGCCTGACACTCAGAGGAAAGAGAGGAACGGGCTCTCTTTACACAGACCTACAATGGGTTGCCTGGAAACAAGTTCTCACAAGAGACAAAGCTAAAGGGATAGCTATGTTTTTTTCTTTTTGGTTGGGTAGCCAACATTAAGAGCCTCTTCTCCACAGAGGCTGTTCGTTTGATGCAGATCCACCTCTCAAAAATGTGCCACATGTGACCATGTGTAAGACAATGAGCAGAGAGATTCCAGAAAAAAAGCACTAAAACCATTTTACCGATCGGTATCGTTGTAAATGCGGACAACTTAAGAGAAATGAATCAATGGTCGGGCATACAAACACAAACACACATGGATAAAAATGGGTAAATGCGGATAAAAATGATGACAAACAGAATTCAAATGAGAAAAAACAATGAGCAAGTTCATCAAACAGGTACAAAAGGGACTAGCCTAAACTGTGCTTACCGCAAACACCTCTTTCACTCTTCTTTTGTGGCTCCAGCGGCAGCCTTGGTATTTTCTCCGTGGGTGAAATCAACGTGTCATACGTGATTTTGAGCGAAAGGCCGAGCAAAAGGCAGTGGGCATTTAAAAGGTGAAGACTGCTGGGAAAATGAGCATCCTCATCTGTTTTGATTTGAGGTTTTGGCTATCATACAAAAGAGACAATCCAGCAATCTCAGTTCAGCTTGAAAAAGGCTGTGACTTCGTTTACAGCGAAACAAAGTAAGGGGCAAGTTATTCCAAACAGAGTTCAGAAAAATGCCTCTCTCTGCTATATTTAGAATAAACTAGCTATGATCTAGCTAACTTTTAAGATGAGCAAAACTGCTGGTCTACTATATGTCATTTGGCTCGCCCTAGTGGTAAAGAGCGTCTCTCACACATTTTACTTTGGACTATGAGGGATGGCAAACATTAAAATATGAAAATGAATAACTTTCATGTGAATTGGTGCAGAATTTTACTGAATGGTTTAGTGCTGAGCGTCCTAAAAAGACAATCAACAGTCAGAGTTGAAACAATGTGTAGAAACACTCAGCAGTAGACCCCTCATTTTGAGGTACACAGTATTGAGGTAAAAAAAAAGAAAAAAAAATGTTTTCTGAAGGACAAGAAATACGCAGCCTCGAAATCCAAATAACAAAGGTTTTTCCTCACAGAGTTTTTTGTGGGGTTTTTTTCTGAAAAACTGCTGAAGATTTAAGAAATCATCTAGTAATTCTATCTGGAAAAGAAAAAATAATAAATTTGGGCCATGTACACACTGCATTTACTTTTAATCCCATTCTGTTCATATCAAGTTTAGTTATTACAGGAGTGACAACCGAATTAAACAAGTGAAATAATTTATAGAATATTAAATCAGATATTTCAGCCAAAATAATTAAAATACTGTTATTATTTATTCATCTTCATGTTGTCTTCTGTGGAACATACAAGACGATATTTTGAAGAATGTTGCCAACCAGTTTTGGTTACCATTGACTTCCATTGTATGGACAAAAATAATAATAATTAGGCCTATGTTCCAGAAAAGAAACAAAGAAATATAGTTTTGAAAGGACATTAGGGTGAGTAAATGGCAGAATTTTCATTTTTGGGTCACCTATCCCTTTAAGGATTCACGTAAATTCACGTTGTGCGATCAGAACTAAACTGAGCAGCTAGTTAATGCAATGAAATCATATTAATAAGCATGGATGATTTCATATCAACACTGAGGTAAAATCCCTATGGTTACCTCCATATCCCGAAACTGTAGTAGAAAGACTCCTTATTCTTTACATATGAAAATTATACCTGATCAAAGCTTTGTAGTGTGTACATGACCTTAGAGCAATTTGAATACCCCCTTATTTACAGCTGAACTTCAGTTTTCCAAAATACAAATCATGAACAAAGAAGAATCATTACATTGTAGCAAATCATGTGAAAACCAAATGTTTGATGGTCAGAAAAGAAGAGATGAGGCATGAGTCTGTGTGTCAGACAGTGAAATAAAGAGAGAGTGACAGATGGAGAGAGAAGAAAGGGAGAAAGAAATAGGCACACACCCTGTAAAAAGGAGACAATAGCACCGCCCCGTCACAAAGCACTGGCTTTATATAGATTAAAGTTGGTTTTAAGAAAGATATGCTATTTTAAAAATTGTAAAAGTGCTATAACGGGACTTAAGCTAAACCAAGTCTCCTGCACATGTCTCATGTTCACTCTTGGAACAAGTGGAAAGTGAACAAATTTCTAAAGGTACAAGAAATTCCTGATGTAGGTCATTCTCTGTGTGGTGGCTGAAAAGATCAGGCACCACATTTAAAACAGGATCGAAAGTGCCCCAAAGAGGATTATAGGTTGGTTTAGTTATATTTTTTAGACAATTAATTACAAACATTTACATAACTAGGGATGCGCCGATATGAAAATAATGGCTGACACGATAACCGATAATTCTTTATATTTGAAAGCAGATAACCGATACATTGGCTGATATCATTTTTGAGAGCCTAATTACAAAAACAAAAGTCTCACTTTTTTCAGGACTCTTTGATGAACAGAAAGTTCAAAATAACAGGATTTATTTGAAATAGAAATCTTTAATATTATAAATATCTTTACTGTCACTTTTGATCAATTTCTTAATGAATAAAAGTATTAATATCCAGACTCCAAACGTTTGAATGGTAGTGTATATTTTTGTATTGAATTTATACATTTTTTGTAAAACATACAATATTTTAGTTAATATGTTTTTAAAATAATATCATTTTAATTTGCAAGCAGAGAAGTAACAAAATAGCAAGATGCAATGTGTCACGATTACCAGTGAGAGTGCCCATCATTACCACCAGAGGGCACTCCACCCCGTACTACTGTCATTCCCGAATGAAACTACATTTCCCATAACTCTCTGCCTGGACTCATCATCCCTGATTGCATCCACCTGTGTCTTATTACCTTGTTTAACTCGCCCTATAATAGCCTGGTTTTAACATTCAATCTCTGTGAAATCTTGTACGTGTAACAGCATTACTGAGCGTTTCCACTGGTTTACTGAGCGTTTCCACTGTTTTCCATGTTACTGGTTATCCCGTTTCTGTCTCACCCTCTGGATTTGCTTTTGAACACTGCCTGCTGGTAGCCCTCAAACCGTATTCACTTTATAGCCCTTAATCCTGTAATTGTGGACAAATGTGGGCACAGAGGACTCGGGTGTTATCCTAATTTTTATTTATTATAAATGTTATATCACTGTCTTCGATAAAGTTTTGTCTATCCATTTGTCGTGTTTTTTTTATTTTGGGGGTATTTTTGAATTTATTTACTTCAAGAAGTACCATATTTTCTATGTAAATTATGCTTATTTTATGTTTTATTTTTTTAATTTTTTTAACTACATTAAAATATCATTCCAATAAGTTCGAGTTAAAACCTAAAGATGAAGTGACTTTGCTGTCACTTGGCGTTTTATTTTAGCTTTTTTTAGAATGCTATAAATTACAGTTTTTCCCATTCATGTCTATGGGTGCCCATTTTTGACCCAAATACAAGACTAAGGAGGGGGTTTTTTTTCACCCACTTAACATTGTAGAATTGAGTCAAAAAAAAAAATTGTGTGTGTTCAGGAGGCAAACGTAGGAAAAGTAGCCAAGTCTTGTACTGCTCAGATCAAGGGAAGTATTTTTTTAAAAATAAATCAAAACTATTTTGCCCACATTTGTCCAGAATACGGTTTTGGGGTAATGCTCTTGGATTTTCCCATTAAAAACTGCATTTGCATTCTCAACCTTCGTGTCTCGGAGCTGTTCGTTACACAATGTTATATAAAGAAATTACAGTAGTGTTCCTGCCATCTTATCTGATATTTCACTATCATTTATTTCATTATTAGCTTATAAAATCCAGCACCAGTTTGTGAATCTAATTTTAAAAATCTTATCCAGAGAATTTTTCTTCAGCATCCCATGAGCTTGAAAACATTGCACCCACACCACATCCAAAGAATGATTCATTTAAAAAAAAAAAAGTGTCTTACACAAATTATTATAACGTTTCTAACTGGACCTCATGATTTCTTTAACACCATCAAATATTTTCAGCCTCACTCACCTTAAACCCACCAATGCACTCCATCTTTAGGCTAAGAGTGTCAGTGCAGGTTAGTCAGGATAATCTTACCTGTCTCTGAGGTCCGTTGGATTCTGACTCTCTCCGCCGTGGCCGTCCGGAGGGCAGCGAGTGACAGGGTGACTGCACAGGGCTCTCCGCTGAGGTCGACTGGCCTTTCCCGCTCCTCCTGGACGCCTCCTCCTCCGTAAGGGGCAGCATGCCTCGTGTCGTCCGGTCACCGTGTGACGTCTTGGGCCTGACTGACGGATCCGTCCCTCTATGTCTCCGCCGCTCTTCTCCTTCCTCCAGAGGGCGTAATTCCTCCGGCTCCTCATCCGTGGTACCGGATGTGGTGGGCTCGGCCCCTGGGAGGTGGTGGAAGTCTTTGAGCTCCGTTTCTTTGTCTATGATAACCCACTCCTTGCTGTCAAAGTCCTCCTCTTCCGCGAGTGGGACGGAGCGGATGAAGGCATTGCTGTGGGCTTCCTGGTCCACTGATGCAGAGGCCTCATTACGACCACGGTCTCCACGACAACCGTCGATGGACAGCATCTGAGCTGGCTGGGAGGAGTAAACATGCCGAGAAGGAGAACCCAGGATGTCCATTCGAGAGCTGGGTAAGGAATAAATAATGAATTTATGATGCTAAATGACACAAAAATATGTATAAATACTATATTTCATTAAAGGGAACAATATATATATATATATACACAACATTTTTTGCAGTGGTATAAATATTTTTTCCTTTGATTTTACAGAAACAATATATACACGTTCTTTATAGAAAATGTACACGCTATTTTTGCTGGAAAATCAAAGAAAAAAGAAACGTTTCACTACTGTAAAAACAGTACAATTTTAAAATATTATTACAATTTAAAATACATATTTTCTTTTTTATTATATTTTAAAATGTATATTATTCCTGTGATGACAAAGCTGAATTTTCAGCATCATTACTCCAGTCTTCAGTGTAACATGATAAGAAATCATTAGAAAATGCTTATTTAATGCTCAAGAAACATTTTCTTATGAATATCACTGTTGAAAACAGCTTAATATTTTTGTGGAAACTGTGCTACTTTTTTCTCCAGGATGTTTTGATGATTAGAAAGTTCAAAATAACAGAATTATTTTTTTCAAATACAAAACTTTTGTAACATTATAAATGTTTTACTGTCACTTTAATACATCCTTGCTGAATAAAAGTATAAATTTCTTTAAAAAAAAAAATATGACCCCAGATTTTTAAACATCAGTGTATATGAAATAATAATGTTGTAATGCCTTTATTTGAATAATGCAGTGAATTAAAGTTTCATCAATGAAAATAGCTTATTTATTATATTCTTATCTCTTTACATGTGGAACCTGTGGAAGTTACGTGCAAAAACAGCATCACAAGATATATAATAACAGTATAATAACAGATTGGTTGAATCAATATAAAAATTTCGACCCACCGTTGTCCGTAACCATCCCGTCCATCAGCGGCAGATATGCGATCAGATTCAGGGCTGTTGACCCGTCGGTACCTAAGTGAGTGCACCTGCATACCCGGAGAGTCCAACCCTCCCCGTTGTGGCGACACAGGACACACACCCCGGCTACCATCTTCCTCTTGACCTCCCTGCAACATAAAATCAAAGAAAATGAAACATTACAAAAACAGACTTATTTAACTTCAAATGGAGTATAATGTGTAATTAGTTTTAAAATAAACAAAAATGCTTTTTAATTTATGATCATGAAAAGTATTTGAGTGGATTATATTCATTGGAGTGCTCAGCACCTTTCCAATGTTAATCCTGAGTTTGTTGCGATTAAAGTCCGTCTCCTCCCATCCGTCTGCGTCAGTGGGTAACTGACTACCATCAGCTGGCCGGCCAGAGGGAATCGGAGGGGCGTTTTCCTGATCGCTTAGGTGCTCGTCCTGCACAACATTATCTGTATTTTCCCTCTGAAGGTCACCAGGCGTCTGGGTCACATTTATGCCCCTAAAGGTTCAAGAAAAGATCACAATCAATAAATACAATCACAAACAAAACAAAGTTTACCCCTACATGACCTTAGAGAATGTTTTGGGAAACCTTCTTGGGTTTGTTTAAAAAAAATCTGTTTATGCTTCACCTTTATAGTCATTTTTTGGAAATATCACTCAGAGCTTTGAAGCATCAGAGACAGAACTCATTTAAAAGTCATCAGATGTTTTTCTATTTCATTGTAAAATGTTCTTCATGTCCTGGAGCAATACAACAACTCTGTCTTTCCAGAACTGCAATGGACTAAAATAAGTCAGTGACATTTCCATGAGAAGTGAGTGTTCTCCTCACTGAACATGTAAACCTACTGAAAACAAACCACAATGTCCCAAGAAGCATTGGATGTTTGTGACTATTAAATCAGTTTGAAAAACGTATCAGTATGCAAATAACAGTAATTAGGAAAAACAAATAAGACAACACATTCAAGCTTGTCCCTCGTTTTTTTCAGTTGCTTGAGGATTTCAGACGTTAATCACGCCTTTCATCCATCTGTAGGGCTTTTATGTGACAATCTACGACAAGTAACAAAATCCCTCGAGAGGCTGCCTGTGAATTAGTGTGGGTTTTGTAAAGTGTGGTGCATTTGTGTGATAGTATACATGAGGATCTTTTAAAATAAGGATGGATGGATTTATAGGGTCACACGTCCACAGACATGTGCGACACATGACGTTTGATGTGTTCACACATGCATGCGATTCTTACCCAACCATAGCCGCTGTAGGCCGTGTGTTCTGCTGCGCTGCTGTCGGTGTGGTGGCAGACATCATGGAGTCCGTCCCACTTTTCTCCCAGTCATATGGCTCATTCTCTGTGATGATGCGTTCTTTCATGCTGTTCTCAAACACTGACATCAGGAGCTGACACAGAAAAGACACCTTAATAAAGACTACTCATATCTGTATGATGAAATGTATTCATGTATTTCTTATACATTGTTATATAATGTTTACATATATATATATATATATATGTTTATAATATATTTTAATATAGTTATATATAGAGAGAGAGATAGAGGAATACAGTACATATATAAAATAAATGTAATAAAATAAACAGGAAAAACTTTTTAAAAATAATATACCTATTGAATAAATATAGCAATATATAGAGAGAGTTAGAGTTTCTATTCTAGGTACCTGATAGTCTGGTTTGGTGTAGTAGTCAAGGGTTAACACATGCTCCAGGAAGACAGTAAACTCTGATGGCATGTGTTTAAGCAGCATCCTATGGTCATAGCGCTCTTTTATCTGACCCACCTGCTCCTAAATGATGCATATGACAACAGTACATTTCAACAATGGTGGTCTGATACAAAAGTATTAAAAAAGTGAAAAAAAGATTGAACAAACACTGATTTTCAATTCAGGCAAGGAAAGTCAGAGCACCTTGTCTTTAATTTTCCTCCACGGCAGCTGCCCAGCAGCAAATTCAACCAGCATGTAAAACAATGACCATAAGTCATCATGGCGACCCATTTCCTGTAATAAAACAAACAAACAAACACAAGAATTCCATTAAAATGAATAGGTAAAATAACATTAGATTATTGTATATCTTGTAAAATACATTGTTTGATATACATACATAAGTAGACATAGACTAAGCACTTACTTTGTTTTTATGTGCATTCACAGATGCGTATCTAACAGTCCCTCGAAATCCTGCAACAGTTCTGGGCTAAAAGTAGACATGTATTAGGAACATTTTATTTGTACATTTTATTTTCATCATCTGTAATACTTAGAATTTAAATCAAAACAAATCACACAAAAATATTCCTGTGTATATTTTATGCATTATTCATTTAATTTCTGTTTTGGTGGTATTGTAGCAACAGGAGAGAGAGATACACAATGCACAACACACATTCTACTGAACATAGCGTTCCATTCTTGCAGAACATTGAACACGCAACACAAAAGGTAAACACCTTGCGTCAAGTAAATTTACCTGTGTGTCTGTGTGTGCATGAGTGTGTATTAGTCCCAATGGGACTTTCTTACAAACTAAATCAACTAATTTATTTTCGATTAACCAAATGACATGACAAGTAGCATCTGTTTTGCAGAACAAATGACATTTAATTTGGATGCAGTTCATTTTCCCTTACCGTGTTCAATCTTTTACTGATTATATATATAGGTATATATATATATATATATATATATACAGGCTATAAATGAAAAAATATGAGGTCAGATATAAAGCAAAGATGAGAACTCCATGAAGTCACTCACAATGAAAGTCTTTCCATTGGTGAGAGTGTGGGGAGAAAGGAACAGATGGAGAAATACGTCAGACATGCACGTCATAACTTAAAACCCCAAACGAAAACTGCAAAAATAAGACAAGATGGTCAAACAAATGAAAAAGCAGAAATAATGTCCATTTGCACCAGGCAAAATTATATAAATGACCCCATGCAATGTCCTTCAAATGCTGTCAATAACAAGATGTTAGTATAACAAAACAAGTAGCTACATTTAAAAAATGGGGTACAATTTAAAACATTTACAAACATCAACACATATTAACAAACAAACAAACATGGCAGCATATGACTCTGGACCTTCATTGTCCTATTTATACTGTATGCATTTTTTTTTAAAAAGGCAACATATCACAGTTCTGAGAACACCAAAACTATTTATAATCCTAAAAAAAGATTTTTTAGGATCACATAAATATGAATGGATACCACAGATTGGATAAGAAACATGCTGCAATTGAATATAAAGTGAAGAATTGTCTTCACAGTTAAGTTACAGTCTGGTTTTAAACCTGTTTTGTTATTTGCTCCACATTATAAAGTTATCGATTGATCTGGAGAGGTAGTTTTGGATCAATCTACGGTAAGCAAAAAATTCAATCTATCTGCCGCAGGAACAGACAACAACTCCTGAAGGTTGCAAGAGAAAAACAGAGTCAAACCAGTTTAATACTGCATTGCCCAGGTGAGCAAGTGAGCGAGCGAGCGAGCTAGTGAGTGAGTGAGTGAGTGAGTAAGCGAGATAGATAGATAGATAGATAGATAGATAGATAGATAGATAGATAGATAGATAGATAGATAGATAGATAGATAGATAGACACACACACACAAACTAAAGGATGACACTCAGTTTCCTGGCTGAATCAATGAGTGCAGCTGACTCAGCTGTGCAGAAAGGAAAGGCGAAAGAGAAAGAGGGAGAAATGAGAGAGAGAGAGAGAGAGAGAGAGAGAGAGAGAGAGAGAGACGCCTGAAAATATTACACTCTCTCGGGCTGAACCTGGGGGCATTGCTCACTGATGCATGCAGTCTTATTAAATATTTATACCGCTGCATTAAAACCTGCACGTACAGAGGAATAGAGAGATAGCGTGAAGGATGGAGAAGAGAGGAACATGTGCGAATGAAGAGCTCTTTGTGATGATCTAAAAGAGGAAACAGCCCAGTGCCTGATTCAGAGAGCTCTGTAAACCTCTCATGAGCTTTCAAGCTCATCTCTCTGCCAGCCTGCACTGTTACAGTGAATATTGCTTTTTATTGCTTAAATAAATCACAGGCGCTTCTTAATAAAACCAGACCTTTGGGGTCAATCAAAACAAAATTTAATATCACGTTTGGCTTGTAACCACTGATCTATATAGAATGACAATGTCATTGATTGTAATCAATGATTGTAACCAAAAATATTGATTGACAGAAATGTCGTATTTCATTACAATGCAAGAAAACATGTACTTTTATTTAGCGTATACAACAAACGAGCATAATTAACCAGTAAATAATTCAATTAACTTCAAAGGAATTAAACTGTGACATACCGGTCGGACTTCTCCATTGGTGTTCGTATACTGTCGTGCGAGCCCAAAATCGAGCATGTAACATTTCCTGTATGTTGAAGGCAGCCTTCCCATGGCAAAATTTGACTGGAAAGAAAATCCATACATCCTTGATCAATAAAATCACTTCTGGAAATCAAATGACAGTGTTGCATTATCTTATTATTAGACACAAGATTTCAAGGCAATTTCAGGAAAGCTATTAGATATTACCGGTTTGATGTCTCGATGGAGAAAGCCAACAGAGTGAATGGCTTCAATGGATTCTAAAATCTGCTTTCCCAAGCGGAGGGTTGTGCTCATGGTAAAGGTGCCACGTGGCTGACTTCGCCGGAGATCTGCCAGGTTTCTACCCTGAGAGTGATAATGAAGTGTAAGTGAAGCCCTCACACCTCCATAACACCAGTAAAAGACGGCTTCAGCATTTGAGAGAAACCAGCATGTGATCCACGGACATTCATCGATCAATGATGATTTTCAAATGAAGAAGTACTTATTTGCATTGCTGTGCATGAGCTTTGTTTTAATATGCGCCAACTATATTATGAAAGGGAGTCGTTTACCTGCAGCTGCATGACGACATAGTTGAATTTATCATTTCGCCCACAGCCTATGAACTTGCACACATGGTTTTTACCTAAAAAAGAAGATCACATTAACATGTGAAAGTAATTTATATAAAGCATTACTAGTCAGGCTGATCAATGTCCACTTGGCCAATCAACAATTTCTTTATTCTACAGGCCATTACATTATTTTTTGTTTGTTTTTTGCTTCTTTCTGATGACTAATGTCTGAAGTGAATCATCAGAATGCGTGTCTGTGCGTATAGCTTCACATGTTCGCAGTCACGTAGGCTGTGTTACTGCCGCTTCATTCACAGTGCTAAATATACAACATGCCATGCACATGGTCAGCTCTGATGGGATGGTCAGTCTTTACAGCGTTTATTAAATGCCTCAGTCATGATGATGTCAACTAAGTACTGTATAAAATTATACAATGCGACTAGCATTCAGTGTAATCTATAAAGCCTTTGAAACACAGCAGAGTCTTTCTTTTCTATAATGATTCCAACATGTTTTCTTGGGAATACCGTCTTAATTGTTAATTAATTAATCGTTTTTTTCCTGTGTCCTCAACATCAGTCCTCTACGTGTTTTAACTAACCAATCATCCTCCAGGAAGTTACATAATAATGGGAAAACAACAACCCAAACAGCAGTAAATATTAGCAATGGATATGATACATTTGCAGGAGAATAGTTTTAATAGATGGTTAAAAATATACATTACCATTCAAAGGTTTGGGTTCAGTGAGATTTTTAAAAATCTTTTATGTCTCTTATGCTCAACAAGGCTGCATTTATTTGATCGAAATACAACCCAACACAATACAGGAGTTCTAAGGGTACTATATCCTGTGCATTTCTGCGGGGAATCGGTCTTCAGTAATCGGACAATGTGATATCTTGTCAATGTCAAAGTGATGTTGATGCTGTACCAAGACCAAAAACCAAGACCTAATGATGACCATGTCTTACCTTGCAGTTTCTTCAGAACTGCCACCTCCATCTTCAGGACTTGTTTGGGCTGTTGAGCTGACTCCACTTTTAACGCCACATTCTCCCGAGTCAGCAGGTCCAACGCCTCGTAGATTTCCCCGAACCCCCCTCCTCCTATTTTCTTCAGCTGTATATCAAAAAGGGACACAACAAGATGTTATCTGATTTCTTTCTGTATAATTTGGTATTGATTTCAAGTATGAGCTGCCTGGGAAACCTAAAGTCGGGGAAACAGTTGTATTTCCCTCCCAATGTAAAAGTTGTTTTCATTAGAATCCATTTCAATAAATAATAATACGATTTTTTTCTTATAAAGATACATGCAGCCTTGCAAAGTGTCTTTTAGAAGGAGCATCAGGGAAACATCAAAAAGCACTTTGTAATATTTACATTTCAAGTGCGTCAATAGTACCTTTATTTTACTCTCCTGAGATATTGATTTCAATTCAGACTAAAACAACCAGCTCGACAAATAATACTGTAACACAATCTCTTCTACATCTGCATGTTATTGTAGATGTGAAAAATCCTTGTTTCATTGATAACCGATCTAGAGGGCGCATCTATTGATCAGGGATACGCAATAGTGCAGCAGTCCTACTGCTGAACAAACATAAGTCAGCTTTGCATAAATTTGTCACAAATTTCATATCTGCACAATATAGAGTAATACATTTCCATAAGACAAAGGAGAAAGCAAGTAGAAGATTTGCGATTTCAAATGACTCATAAATCATCATGTATATTTGATGGTCTAGTTCTCTAGTGGTTCTTGAGCCCATTCACTTGGACTGGAAGTGATCAGTCATGTGAGAAGATTCTCTTCTCCCTTGTACTGGGAATTGTTGAGGAATTTGATCTCTTTGTGATGTCTTTTGACAAGACAGTCCCAGTGATTGGGGTCAAAAGAGCTTTACTGTTACATAATCTACTTGTTACAAAAAGAGCATAGGAGAAAAGATGGGAAGCTTTATCTATTCTATATGTACCCGCATACTTTTTTTGGAGAAGCCCCCATATCATTTTACTGAAAATCTACAACTTACATGAAAAAAAAAAAATCCAGGACAGTTTGATCAATAAAAATGTAACAGAACATATATTTTTTTACTGTCTTTACTGTCACTTTTATTTTCTACTTTTAATTTCTTTAAAACTGATATTTTTTGATTCCCCCCCCCCAAACTAATTCATTGAAGTTTTGTATTTTTATTTATTATGTTAAAAATAGTTAAACAGTCCAAATGTCAGAAACAAATCTTGAAATATTAATTTTTTTATTTAAACACGAAAGTAAACAAAACATACAGGGTTTTGAGAAATGTATTGTATAACAAAGAAACATTGTGAAATACAATAGAATATAAATATTTAGGATTCTGCACTATTTTTAGGTCAAATTAGTAAAAGCAAACTGAATGTTTTATTTTGTTTTATTTTATTTTGAGCATTACATCTGCACTTTAAGAAAAAATGTTTTCAAAGTTCTAAATAAAACAAAGATCACATACATTCTATGAGAAAATTCTTTAATCAAGTTTAATTCAAATGTATTCATTTCTTTGTAATAGCTTGTGAAATTTACAAGTATTTGTTTGTGTGTGTGCAAACTTCACGTATTGATCTTTTGAAAACATACCACTTTCCATCGTTCTTTGACCATGCAATTTGGGGGCAGAATGTCCTGCTGCTCTGCAGTGCCGTTCATGTTGGCGTTGTCCTGCAGAGCTGGTGCTAGGCACTGCAACCCTGAGAGAACTCTGGCAGCCCCCAGCTTAAACGAGCCATTTATCTGTGAAAAGCCACCAACATGTGTTAAATAACCAATTCATCATCATCGCTGTTGCCAATTTGCCGACGTGCTTTTGGTCAGTTGAGCTGGCTTCTACATGCAATTGCCATCAAACTTCAACAATCGGTAACATTCCAAAGATTAGCTTTGGAATGCCTGATTTTAAAAAGAAGTTATGAGATAGAACACAAATGTATTCCTGCAGTTATTTACTGATACATATTCATGAGGCAAAATGCTAACATTAAAGTCTGCTTTGAGCATTATAATGTTACTATGCTGTTAGCAGACAAAGAAAAGTCTACTAGGCACATCTAATGACCCACATACTTTTTGACCCAAATACCTGCGCAAAAATAAAATGGCCACAAACAAAAAAAGTAATGACACCCCATAAACAAACAGTGAGGATATTTCTAACAGCACATGCTATTATACATAGGCCATATAGCTTACGATGTGCACTAACAGGGGATATTAAAACAGTTCCATTAAGTCTCCTGGGCATTTCTGATAAGATCTAATCAAAAATATCCATTAACAACCTTACAATTAAGAATTTATTCATTTGTACATGACATTAAAATTCTGGCTAATATAGGTAAGCCAATAATTAGGTTCATGTTATTTTGTGTAAATTAATTAAAAATGAACAGTAAAAAAAAAAATGGTTCATTTTAAAATATTACAAGTGAATTAATTTTGAGACTGGCTAAAGATTGCATTTAAGTGTTATTAAGTTATTAGTGTTTTTAAAGGTTAACTTTGGGTGTTAAATTAGTTCATTTCGACGTTACAAAAAGGGGAACAAACGTGCATATATAATGTAAATATCCAGTATCAGCTAATAACCGATATATTGTGCATCTCTAAAATAAAACAGCCAAACACTAATGCAATTGTAAATAGGTAATCAGTTTGACCATTTTTTTACAGATATTTACACACTTTTGTTAACTTAGTTATCAACGCTTAATTATTTAGTTTACAGAGTGCAACCGAATCTTGTAAGTTGTCAAAAACAGTATCCAACAATGAATCTATACGTGTTCAATAGCAAACAAACTTCACACATAAAGTAATTGCATAAATTATATGGCATTTAAGTATTGAGTCAAAAAGCACAAATAGAACAATTAATTTAATATCGATTACAAACAACGTAAACAAAAATAATCAGTATCGGTAATAAAAAACAAATTATAAAACCAAGTGACTACAGTAAACTCTATTGATTCTTAAACACCACTGTCCTGCTACTTTTAATTAAAGATCAGCCTCTTAACAAAAATGAAATTAAGCACTAAAATGAGAGACTCTAAATGTTTAATGCAGTATAGAAACTTTACTCCAAGGTTCAATTTTGGAGTTACCTTCTATTAAACTAAGGTTAAGAAAGATGCATATAAGAACCCAGTAACATGCTATTTGGCATGCAGCACCATTGTTTTGTTGGTTAAACATGCAGGGCCTAGCTCGGCTCAGTTTCAGTAGCTCAATCGCTAACTCATGCCCAGCCCAGCATCCGTCAAGAGCTGCAATCTCTAGTGCAGCATCTTAGAGAAGTGCTCTATGGACAATCTTGGAACAAACTGCACTATGGCATCAGGTAAATAAACTTCAGCCAAGAACAGTGACCGAGCGTAATATTGCCAACTCATGTGCCAAGTTACTGACACCTGCACTGATGTACCCTTGATAGATGCAAACAAGGAGATTTGTAGAAAACAACTGAAAGATGATAGTCTGAATGTTATACTGGCAGTGACAGGGATGAATGATGCCGTTTACGAATATATACGTTGAAATCATGTTTGGTTCGAATTCACATGAGTTGGCAAAAGAATGTGAGCAGTGAAGAGTTTAATCACTATGTGTTGGTTTTTCAACACTGAGATACAACTGAAGTTCATCAAGCCAGCATTTCCACACGCTTCAGTGGCTGGTTATCAATGGGCTCTTTAATAGCTGTAGTATATTATAGCCTTACTTTCCAATCTCTTCAATTACAGCCAATCGACAATTGCCATAGAGTGCAACAATGCCTGGCCACTTTTTCAGCAACCTTGGTTCCGGAAGTATTTTTTCCATCCATAAGGATTTATAAAAAGTCTCATTTAAAGAGTAAACCATGAACCAAATCAACCAGATACGAGGTGAACGGCAACATCGGATAAAAAGACAGGTACAGGATTGTGTACTGTACCAAACCGTTTTTTATGTCTAATGAATAATCAAATAAAAACATGAGAAATATAAAACTAGGGATTTATAGATATTGATTATACTGTAGAAATCATACACTCACCAAAAGGATTATTAGGAACACCTGTTCAATTTCTCATTAATGCAATTATCTAATAAACCAATCATATGCATTTAGGGGTGTGGTCCTGGTCAAGACAATCTCCTGAACTCCAAACTGAATGTCAGAATGGGAAAGAAAGGTGATTTAAGCAATTTTGAGCGTGGCATGGTTTTGGTGCCAGACGGGCCAGTCTGAGTATTTCACAATCTGCTCAGTTACTGGGATTTTCACACACCACCATTTCTAAGGTGTACAAAGAATTGTGTGAAAAGAGAAAAACATCCAGTGTGCAGCAGTCCTGTGGGCGAAAATGCCTTGTTGATGCTAGAGGTCAGAGGAGAATGGGCCGACTGATTCAAGCTGATAGAAGAGCAACTTTGACTGAAATAACCACTCGTTACAACCGAGGTATTCAGCAAAGCATTTGTGAAGCTACAACACGCACAACCTTGAGGCGGATGGGCTACAACAGCAGAAAACCCACTGTGTACCACTCATCTCCACTACAAATAGGAAAAAGAGGCTACAATTTGCAAGAGCCCAGCAAAATTGGACAGTTGAAGACTGGAAAAATGTTGCCTGGTCTGATGAGTCTTCTATTGAGACGTTCAGATGGTAGAGTCAAAATTTGGCGTGAACAGAATGAGAACATGGATCCATCATGTCTTGTTACCACTGTGCAGGCTGGTGGTGGTGGTGTAATGGTGTGGGGGATGTTTTCTTGGCACACTTTAGGCCCCTTAGTGCCAATTGGGCATCGTTTAAATGCCTCTGATGGCTACTTCCAGCAGGATAATGCACCATGTCACAAAGCTCAAATCATTTCAAATTGGTTTCTTGAACATGGTAATGAGTTCACTGTACTAAAATGGCCCCCACAGTCACCAGATCTCAACCCAATAGAGCATCTTTGGGATGTGGTGGAACGGGAGCTTCGTGCTCTGGATGTGCATCCCACAAATCTCCATCAACTGCAAGATGCTATCCTATCAATATGGGCCAACATTTCTAAAGAATGCTTTCAGCACTTTGTTGAATCAATGCCATGTAGAATCAAGGCAGTTCTGAAGGCGAAAGGGGGTCAAACACAGTATTAGTATGGTGTTCCTAATAATCCTTTAGGTGAGTGTATATTTTACTTCAAAATTTAAGAGCATAAAGAGATCGACTCATCTGACTAATTGACTTTACATTATTTACAGTGCTTAATGGGAGTAGGCAGGCACTAAAAAGATATTCTGGCAGGATTTGCCATTTCAATTCTCTGATTGGTGGAGATATATTTGAAGAATCATGGGTAGTGTAGTTTTTCACCTGGGAATGTTATATGTGATTATTCAACAAAATCAGTTGAATTAATATCTGTTGATGGCTTTAAAAACGATATTTACCATTGATTAACAATCTCATAACTCACATCAGATCTTTCTTTAAAGGTTTAGAAGTGATCATTACAAATGTATTCCTCCATTTTTACTTCCGGAACCCGATTTTTGCACTCTTTTGTGACTATATTTTGAGATGATGTCAAATTTTATATTGCATGAGAAACCTCAATTGTGTGGAAATGCTATTGCTTCATTCTCATAATAAAGGGAATCCACTTTAAGCCAAAGGACAGATGGATATTCTTGATAGTTTCTACATTTGCTATTTTCTACCCTCTCCCTTATGAGCGGCTATCTAAAAAGCAGGATCCGAACAAGTCTTACGGGTGTTGTTCGCGCACAGGCCGTAATGCTGGCGAAAAAGCTAAAGCATTCAAATCGCGCGGCTTGTATTCCCACTAATCTGCGTGTGAGTTGATTTTTTTTTTTCAGTTTCGTTCCAGGGGACCCATGGGATGTGAGGTTACAGTGAGCGAAAAGCAGAGGGGGTTTCATTCAAGTCACCTCAATTAGCAAAGAATAATCATTTAAATTCCTCTGAATCCCAGGGAAGGGAAGCATCAACAGCCATTTTGTGATCAAACTCTGAAAAGTGAAGTGCAGCCACATGTCCAGGAAGGGAAAGGGGGGAACTATGAAGGACGGTGTAACTCTCTCACCATGTTCACAAATCTCTTCAATAACCTTACGTCTCTGACAAAAATCTTGCAACTGACCAATTTAGTCGACACCAAAACCCTCCTTTGCCAGCCTACAAGCCAGAAAAAACAAGAGAAGAGATGGATTATACTTAGCAAGCAATTGGTTTTGAGCACTTTGAGCTGATACAGTGCTTGAAATGACGTTCCGGCTGTTTTGTTCTCCTTCTCTGTGCTAGTTATCAAGGATTTGGCACACTGGTCAGTATTGATACAATCTGAAACCATCAGATGTTCCTGTTTTGACTATTATCACTCACCATCCATCTTAAGGCAAGCATGGGTCAGACAGAAACTGAATCCTTAAGGATGAATGTCACAAGGGTCAGTTTGCACTCAATGTCCCACGGAAAGGTGATACATGCATTATTGAATTATAAGCTGATGCGCAAAAGGAAAAATATGTCTTTGACTTGACATTACGAAAAGACATCGCCGTTACGAAAGCCCTGTGAACTGAAGAAAACACAAAACATACTGATGATGTGCAACACAGTGGAATGGACACAGATACATACACAAATTACAACACACCAGTACACAAATGGGCCAGTGAGAAAAAACAAGACATATAAATACATATAATGCTTTTAGAAATGCATAAATGTTGTGTTCAAAAGCATAGGGGAGAGTGGGGGTAAGCTGTGCCACTTTTGTTTTAGGTTTTCTTAATAAGATGAGAAGCATCATCTATATTACAGGGCCATAGAAATATGATTTCACAAACAAAACAGTCATGTATTCAAAAAAAATTATATAATGTTTCATTTTCCAAACACTTTACTGCACATTATTCAGTTTTTAAAGAAAAGATTAATATTCTGTGCATTTGTTTTGACATAAAAACCTAAACTATTTTTACCTGCTTTGTAGCAAATTGTACTTTGACATGCAAATACTGATTTACAATAAATGAAATCACTTTTCTTTCAAATATCAGAATACAAAACATTTTTTTAGGGTGACACATCTTACCCCATTCTCCCTTATACCAGAAAGGTGGAGTAAAGTTTGTAAGAAATGTACACTTTTTTTTTTTTTTTTTTACAAAAGACAAATTATAGCCTACATTTGTAGGAATGTACACATTTTTTTCACAAAAAAGATGATTAAACATTAGTTTTACTGTACACAAGACTAACATTTCATTGCAAGCCTTACTCCAGATTATTTCACATGCTTTAGTAAAACAGTAAAAAGCAAATGCCATATTTTAAAATACATTTGAAAGTCTCTCTCCCTACCTGGCACACAGACTACGAAAAGTCAGTCTTTTACGTCGTTTTGAAATCTTCATTTGGGACCTCACAGTGACACAAAAACCATCAGCTGGGACGTTTACTAAAACCATAAACCGCCTGACTTCTGCATTTTATTAGTGAGGTTCCATCTATCAAAAAGTATATCTACGTCCTAAAATGAATAGCCGTTTTACTAAGAAAAACGCGAATGTACAGTAACTTAAAACATTCTTCAATAACACCGACTGTAAGCCAGTGGACAACCACAAAAACACCAACTGGAAGCGTAGTTGGTTATCTAATCGTAAACATCACGCATATAAAATAAAAACCATACATAATGCACAAAAAGTCCAAGGTTAAAGCAAATATACAAATCTGGCACGAGGCAGGTGCTCAATTCGCCGTATAAACAAGCTCTCCATAGCTCTCCATTATTCCAATCCTCCTAACGACAGACAATTAAAAGAGTATATGAATGCTATTCTATCCAGATATTCGAGACATCCAATCAATTTTGATAAACAAACGGCACAGCTCCCACAGAACGCAACTGCCCGCAACATCCTTTGCGCTGGTCCGCACTGCAGCGCGTCCGTCAAACACCCATGCAGTGACTCTTCGCAATCTGTAGAGGACGCTTTGCGGATAAATATTCATTACGTTACGTTACGTTCGTCTAGTACAGCTACGTGATTGGGTAATAGGCAGGCGCTGCGCTACCAAACTAACGAATCGTGTTTGGAGGAATGCTTGACTCATGAATATTAATTACGTCTCAGTCAGAAACTATAGCATGACTTAATTATTATTCATAAGCTACGTCTTCGCCGTAGTAGGATTTGTCATTTCGCCTTCCTGCTACACCCGTTGTCAATGTTCATTTTGTTTTGTTACATAAACTAGCCCACTCAACAAAACAAACGTTGAGAGAAGTCTCTAGATTAGAAAACTCGAATAGCTAACTAGGCCAAAAGTAAAGATACCAATCCAAACAGAGAAGCATCCAAACAGAAGTACACCGATAAACAACACCGGGGGTTCAATAGGCCTGTGTAATTTAAGCAAACGCGTATAATAAGCTTTTCTTTTCTTTTTATCTTTTCTTCATTTTTTAAGAAATGCGAAAATTATTGTCAGACATTATGGATGCAGTTGGTATTACTTCATGGGGCTGTTTTAAAATGACAGCGGTTCTCCAATAGGCCATGGACTGGCATCCCAGAACTAGCCATATTGTGCCACAGCGAAATTAAAATATAAGGCACTAATTACCTGCTCATTTTCTTATGTACGGAGGCTCATAACCTCTTTCCCCGCATCAGGATACTGTTTAGACCTCGTCTCCACCATTGCTAAGGATGCTGGATGCTCCCTGGCTTGCTCCCCGCCCGTCTGGATCCCAGCATCAGCACCACACATCACTCTTCCTCTCCGACCTCCACCACAGCGATGCTGGTGCTCTACACACGGTATTCCGCTCCCTGCTGGTGAGCGCTTGACAGCACAGTAGTATAGTTCTTATGGGACACGTTATGACATCAACGAGTCTCTCTCGTATTATTCTTGCAATATTTCTTTTTTATTTCAATTGGTATGTCGACAAACTTTTACTCTGGGGCATTCCTTATTAGTCATGTAGTGCACTTTTCCCAAAACAATTATAAAAACACTATTTTAAGCCTATATGTATATATAATATTACTCACACATGTATTTGATTATAAAAATGACACTTTGATGATAGAAAAATCTATATTAGTGGTCCGCATAGCAAAGTATATATAATAAATCTTATAAAATATTGCATACATATAAAGAATCTTTGATACAAACTGTATTTATATATTTACAAGTTTTGGGGAGTTTTTAGTTTCATATCAGTTATACTGAGTCAAAGACAGGGTTTGAAAAGTTGAGGTTTTCTGGCTCTTCCTCCTCATTGAAGTCTTCAGGGCGAAGTTCTCTTTCAAACATCCGCTGCAAAAGTCCATCCACAGTTCTGGATCCTGGAGAAAAAAAAAAAAAAACGAATTATTTATATATACACACACAAAAAAGATACTCCTTTTACAATAATAAGAATGCATTTGAAAAATTAAAGCAAAGCAAAAAAACAAGCACAAAATTTCTTGAAGCAATCTTAACATAATGCAGAGCTAAAAATTAAATAATAATAATACATAATAAAATAATTAATAATAAAACTAACGATTAATAATAATAAAATAATAATAAAATAAAATACTTCTTGAAGCAATCTTGAACATGAGGGAGGGCTTCTGTTTGCCAGCTTCAGAAGAACCCAGGTCATTTTCATTGCTTTCCATTGCATCTACAAGACCTGTGTCCATCCCATCCCTAAAAACACAAACCCAAAATCAACAGCAGCAGGATACTACGCTGACACGCATGCATGAAACATTTTATACATCAAATAACAAGACATCAGGCCTAAATGGCACATACTGTTGGACATTAAGCTCCAGCTCCTCTATCTTTTTTTCCAGAGAAGTCTGCAGGTCACTTTTGTCAATTGTGTATTCCACCAAGAAGGCCTCCAAAATAAATGCTACAAAAATACTGGGGAGAAATAAAAATCTCACATTATGCATATCTTTCCTTCATAGTAAAACACAACAATAATATTCTAGTAGACTCGATTCTTACTTGATTATAATAATGACGACCACAATGTGAAAAAGGACAAAGAATATTCTGGCTGAAACGTGTGTGACTGCTGTGAAACCGCTGGCCAAAAGTGCAGCTGAGTTAAGGGAAAAGCAATGCATGAATCTTATGCTACTAGAAGACCTCAGTCAACAGTTTCACACACTTGATGAAGTATTATACTTGGAGCAAAAACACATTTTGATCTGTAGTTGTAAAGGATATCATGCCACTGATTGACCACAGTGAGTTCCAGCAAGACGATGAAGGAAGAGATAACATTATTGAAGTTGTTCTTGCAGTAGTTGAGTTTAGCAAAAGTGGTTCCTTTAAGGAGAGGGTTTCCACAGTACTCTTGATCAGGACTTGTAGAGTTAGGTTCAAAAAAATGAACTTTTCCTTTAAATAATTCCATGCCAACCATAGCAAATATGTAATAGACAACCTGTAGGGGGACAGCAGTGGATTTATAATAAATACACAGGTATATTGATTATGTCAATGTTTCTCATCACAAATAACAGTTTGTGGGTCTGCCTCTACGCTCATCAAGGCTGCATTAATTTGATCAAAACTACAGTAAATCAGTAATATTATGAAATATCATAAGTCCAAATTGAGAAAAAAAAAAGTTTAGAAAAAAGTTTTCTGTTTTAATACATTTTAAAAATTTTCAGCCACCATTACTCCAGTCTTCAGTGTCACATGATCCTTCAGAAATCAAGATTTCCAGGATTCTTGGATGAATAGAAAGTAAAACAATTTTTTTAATGCATTCTTGCTGAATAATTCTTTTACTTTATTTAAAAAAAAAATAGGCATTGTAAGTATTTACATATTAGAAATATTATTGAAACATAGTTTTGATATTTCTCAGTGTTTGCCTATTACCTAGTACTCACTAAGTACACAAAGATACAGAATGTTTTTGTTCCAACAGGGGTCCAAAACACCAGATAACCCCACTGACTTTTATCGTATAGAAACCACAAAGAAGAACGTCGTACAGGTTTGGAATGACCTGAGGCAGAGTACATTTTGACAATTTAGAGTTTTGGGTGAACTAATCCATAACAATCTGTAAATACTCACCACTATGAGTTGGCCAAAGGTAAGAATAGTTGGTCCAATCTTAATAAGTGTGTTGATGATGGCTCGAAATCTACGAAGGAAGGTTTTAAATGGCACATGGGAAATGAATAAAAGGCATTTTCAAGCACAGAAAGCACTTGTTTGTTTTGCATTTGGATGGAACTATCTCACCTCTTTATGGAATCCACCAAACGTATGAGTCGAAGGACTCGCATGATAAAAACTATGTCCAAGATCTGACGACTAGTGTAACCTCCAGCTGAAAACATAAATATAAAGTCAACAAGACTTCTTAAAGGTATGTTTATTATCAAACTTAACAGCTCTGATATAACACTTGGAGAATGCCGAAATGTGTCGATCTTCTAATATGTCAAATACAATGTAACAGTGATACCTCCTCGTGCTTTATTTAGTTATATCCACATGTGCACTTACAGTGTTTGAGTGCTGAGTTAATGATAGTGCCAAAGAGTGCAGACACAACAATGATAGTGTCAAACCTGTAAGAGATAGAGTTGATTGAATTTGTGAGCTATCACAGGTGATGTTATGTGATCAAATTGATTGAGCCATACAAAACACAAAGAGTTCCTCACCAGTTCCAGAAATGATGCCGGGCGAAGAACGCCCGTGGCTCGGTAGAGTACAGTTTGAGAATGATCTCCAACATATAAAGAGCCAGAAAACCCCACTCAGCATTTGATACCACAGGGTTCTCCTCATCCAGACCAATGAACACCGCATTCACCAGAATAATCAGGTCATAGATATACACAAACATTCTGAAACGCACAATGCAAATATGTGAATGTATTAGTGTCAATGCAAGATCAACATTTTGGGCTAGATTTACTAAACAGGGCAAGTGTGATGAAATAAAAGTGGAAAGTTATGAGGGTGATCTACTCACAGTGTGCAAATTAAATAACAGGGATACAGCCAGCACCGTAATGACACATAATGACCAATGCAATCTAGCAAGATCAGTGCAAAACTGCAAATTAAAAATATCATAGCTTGGCAAACGATACGTTCGGAAAAAAAGTCTTTCTCTGACTATAAATGAACAGGAGTGGATAAAATTCTTTCTTCTTTCTGTTCTCCACAACGCCTCCTTCTTCAGAGAAAATGGCAGCCAGGAAACAGATAAGTGACCAATGCTGAATGGCAATCCAAAATGACATATTTAAACGTTTTTTACTTGGAAAAAAATTCGTCATGCCTTAAAATAGCTTAAATGGAACTCTACACTCTTGCCTCCTTTAGTATACATGGTTTTATTAATATACAAATTAGCCTCGCCTCCACTCACTCACACCAGCTCAGAAATCCACTCGTTGACGATCACACCTAAGCTTCAGAATGATGAATATTTGTATTACCACATTTTGTCCACTTTAATCAATAGTAAATTTTTTGTTAACCTTTTGCCACGTCTTAGAGCATCACAATAATATCATATCGTGAGTTCATTATCGTGATATATATCAAATCGTGACATCCGGGTATCGTTACACCCCTATTTTTTGGTTTTCCTTTCCAATGATGCTTCACACTCCAGTCCAGTTGGTGAAAAAAAGTGAAAAAGCCACAGTCATGTCAAGTGCAAAATGGGTTCAGACATGCTTTTTTGGGCATTAAATCAAGGCACAAATCCCAGTAAATTGACTACTGGAAATCGTCTGAAAGGGAATCTCTTACAAATGCATATGCAATAAGTTCTTAGTATTCATAGTGCAATAAGTTCTCTGTCCATGCCTTTTCATCGTAATTGTTTTACTGCGCGTCTTAATTAAATATCCTGACAGTAGTTTTTTAATGCCAAAATAGGATTTGTGCTGATGCAATGTTAGT